CTGCAGCGAATAATATAGGCTATCTGTTTATCTTTATCCTATAACGATCTCATGAATAATTTACATATAGCTTCCTATATTGTTTATTGACTGGATTCTTGTGAATTTCTATATTTCTATGAACAAGCCCATTGAAAAAGAAACATGGTCATTATTGTGTATTATTATAAGATGATATTTATATTATCATATAGGTTAAATTAGACAAATAAAATCATCATTAATCGAGTTGCGAGTCAAGCCGAGTCACAGGTTCTTCGAATCTAGTCAATCACTGAGTTAATTCGCGTTGGCGGTTAGTTGAGTGAGAACTATAGTGTCATTTGGATGACTGACTCACTACAAGTCTTCGATAAACTCTCGAGTCGAGTCAATAACTCGAATTTTGCCAACACTGCTAATGTGGTGGTAATTGCACTCAAACATTAAGCGTCTTGCAACTGTTTCTTGTAATTTGTTTATGGTATTTTGCATTGCTGTGTAGTTTACCAAAAGTCTTAATTATTTGTTGCACATTATGTTTTTAAAACTGATTTTCTTTGGTGTATTACAATTCGAGATTGAATTATACTTCATAATAACTTCATAATAAATAAACACGTTCACAATTTTGTTCTAATTTCCCTGTGAACAAGTTAACTTTCTCTACCCAACCCGAATCGTTAACTGAACAAAAGACCATAGTTCATTATATGATTAGAACATCCCATACTTGTTCGTTGTGGATGCAAGAATACTTTCCCGACTTGCAACCAGTTTATGCACCATCTCTGTACCCTAAAGTAGTAACATGTTCTGCTACATTATTTACTTAATGCTAATTGTTTCTTTACAGTATTCACCTCCAAGACCATCATCTCGATACAGTCCGTGAGAATGTAGATTATAAACATCTTTGCAATATAGAACAATGGGCTTGGAGCACAAACATGGAAAGGCGAGGAATCATTATTGCCAATAAAATATATTGCAATATAAAAATGCCGAATGTTCTGAGTTGTCACTCATAACTCAATGAGCAATATGATGACTTTTATATCAGCTGAAAATGAATATTAAATTTGACAGTAATAATCTCTAATAAGGGATTGCACTTTGAAAACTTTTTCTTTCATTTTTTGTCTTCAAGTATTTCCGAATGTCAGGTTCATATTTTTTATGAGTTATTAAGATACCCTCATGTTGAAATATTTGTTATTTTACATTTTATCGATCGCTGAAAGTTAAATTTTATAACATTGCTTTGTGAACGTCATGTGCCTTTTTTACTGTCAATCCCCGCTTAGAGATGCTTTTCTTGTTCATACTAGCCAAATTTTTGTGTCAAAAATACTTTATGTTGTGAGTGGTATAATTTGGTAGGAATTGGTGAAAATCTTTCACTGAAAATGTCCTTCTGAAGATTTTTAAACCAGTTTGAAAAATAGTGCGCAAAGTTTTCATGCATGGTGAATGAGACATTTGAAACACCACTGCCTACTTTGATATATTCTTGATTCTACAAAAGTTCATAATCAATTCGCGTATAATATTACTTTGATTGTTACTAATTGCACTATTTTGCTATCTAACGCAATTACAAAACTAATCTTCTACATTGTAAGCCCCAATACCATTTTTTCTAAAAGTTTAGTACAGGGCTCTCTGTGCCTGTATGGTACAACCATATTTGAATATATTTGGCTCTGAATTTTGAATTTACTAAAAAACACGGCAAAGACTTGTAATATTGCATCTTGCCGCTTTGTTTGGGAGATATCATGCTAATTTGTATGGCTGAGTCCATTACATACCGTACCAATTCAGAATTGAACTGCATTCAATATGGAGTTACTTTAAGTCATTCATTATAGCAATAGTTTAAGCAAACTTTCATTTTGCCAATTAGGTGATGACATACAACCGGTACGTACGCATTCGCTTTAGTGTATGCTTAAGTCCTTAATTTACTAATTTTCTATATATTTTCATGAGCAAAGCTATTTTGTAATATATTATCTTATTTTTTATTTCATATATTTATTTGCTTACATCAGTGTTTGTTACGCTTAATAATGTGCTTAATTTCGTATTGTGATTATTTTATGTTTTATCATTTCTATTGTTTATTGTGTTAGTGGTGGTTGAAAATGCAATATTGGACCAAACGGTTAAAATTGGGATAGAATATATTCTTGTGCGATTACTGTGTATTTTAAGTTATAGTTTCAAATTTGCCTAGTTTTTGGGCAATAGTTTGGTGCTATCATTCTCTACCTGACCCTAGGACGATTAGCTTGCTCTACCCTCTTCTAATATGTTCTGGCTATGAGTAGAAGACGTTTAAAATCAAAGTACCATTTCTCAATGAGAAAAATATATATGTTATCATATTAACGTCTTGATATTAGTAATAATAACCAAAACTTCAATAATCAATGATTATAAGTACTTCCTGAAAAACTTTTTTCACATATATGAAATATTTAAAATGACTATTTTTGACTATTTACACGAAAATATCTAAATTATTCTACAACCAAGATATACCATAGTCAGATATGACTAATTGTGAATATAAATAAATTCTTGATAATTGAGGACATACATCTATCAGCGCTTTTGAATACATTTATTTAAAAGATTAATTGTGCTTTTTTGTTTTTGTCCTATTTTTGTTCTGCTTTTTATTACTTTGCATTACTTTCATTATATGCTTGCTATTTTTACCAATGCTGCTAAGTGTCGCGTTTATGTTATATAAGATAAACTGGAATTAAACGGTACTGATTCTAACTCCAATACTGATCTTATCCGACTCATTGTGACTAATTTTTTTTGGTGCTCCTATAGATAATATCATGTATTTCATGCTTGCATATTACCGTTTTGCTGTATTTCAATTTGGGATGTTTCATAAATAGTTTCAGTAACTTCAGTGGAGTAACTTGTTCTGCTGGCAATTTTGCATTGATTGTATTGAGCGGTTGAATATCATTCTTAAAAAAATTTTCTTCATTTCCTATATTAGTTTCGTTGCTAAGATTGAAATTCTATTTGTATCATGCCCAGCTTATGTGTAGATTGCGACAGCGACTATTAAACGTTTTGAATAACAGTTGTGTTTTATCTTGTGTTTTGAGTGTGGTAGTGGTTGTGACACATAAGGTTTGGGCGAGTTCATTATTTTATTTTCTCCATGATTTCTTAGCAAAGAGTGGGTTTCACTTACATAAAGTATTGCTAATTGTTCATGTGTTCAGTTCGAGAATAGGTATATTTTGGATAGCGGTTGTGTTTTAGGCGTGGTAATACAGAGTTGTAACACATTCATAATGTTTGAGCGCGTTTTCTCCCGATTTCTCAGCAAAAAATTTGCCTCGTTACATAAAGTATTGGTATTTGCCGACGCATGTGTTTGAGGGTAGGCACATTATGTATGAATAGTAAGAGCAAAGGGCAAAGTTTAGTAGTCCCAATTATCCCATGATTAACAAAGGGACGTCAAGGATTGTGAAAGAATATGACACCAAAAAGAGCCCTTTGTTGATAATTTAATTTACGGTCACATATGCGCGTCATGATCCTAACGGGATACTGGTAGTCGAGCTTCGGCGGACAGAAAGCAGCGGGTTGCCATGACAACCAGTGAAAACAAGTTTTGACGGCCATCGATAAATTTGAGTAATCTCGATAATTATGATAAAAAAGCTTGGCATTTCTGTCCATTTATGAATACCTAGTCTTCTTCCAGGCAATAAGCGCCGATACTCGCTGGGTGAGCAGCCGGAGTTTTTTATTAGACTGGAAAAAGTTGAACTAACATGCTCTCCATTCTCAGATGCAGTAACGATGTGTGGCTTGTAGAACAACTAAATGCTAAGATGTACGTGTCTGGTCTATGGCAGCGTGGTTCTGTTAGTATGAAACGCCGCATCTAAAATTGTAATTCATTAATTCCAATTGTGGGTATAGTTAATGTAGGCTACTTTTTGTAAATTGTTCAAATCAGGGTTCAGAAGACTGTGTCAATGACAGAATTTCTGAACTATAGAAAATATAATAAATAAAATACACAATATATCTTTATTTATATTTCATTTATTTATTATTTACATATTGAATAATCCACATTGTGGATCCATTTAAAAAAAAAAAAAATATATATATAATTTCAGTGTGGGGGCAATGGTTAGGCAGGTTTTGTTTGTAACGTATAGACCTAGAATGGTAGTTATTATTTATGTGATTACAGGAATAACGTTACCTACTAATTGCCGAATTATTTTCTAAATGATTTGTCCAGTCTGCCATTCAGGGATTACCATATAGACTATGTCTTGGTCTTTCTGTCATTAATAAACAGATAAGTTATATTTAATGTTATATTTTGCATTCCGTGTGTAGCTTAATATTTATTGTTTAGACTTGTCTGTGCAATAGATTGCTAATTATTTAAAATGTCGTTCAATAAAGCAGTTCAAGATAACAGAGATAAAGAAATCAGCCTTTCACAAAAGGAACTTTTGTTGATGCGTCTCTCAAATCATATAGAACAAGCTCAAGTTGACAGTCCTGCTTTTATGTTATCTAGTTTAGCACAGAAAGGTAGTGAAGAGGTAAGTACTGAAGTTTGTTTACTTCGATTTTATTATTTGAAGAAATGATAATTTTGAAAATATTCCAGATGTGCATTTGAAGATAGCTTTTTTACTGATATTCTGAATGTATATATGCTTTGGTAAAATTGTACTTTGTTATTGTGTCATAAAGGTATAATATCATTTTTTCTTCTTGTTCTTTTCTGGTTAATTCCATCTTGAGTTTTCCACCGATTTTTTATGATGTTGGAAACGGCAATGTGTGTAAATTGCATGTTTTATTCCAGCTTGTTGCTGAATTTTTTGGTGATCAACCGTTTATGGATTCTTCATCATTAGAAAATTTCATGCAATCTCAACTTTATGTCTGTACTTTCTGGGGAATTCATGATATCGCCAAAATATTGCTCGATAATAAAGCAGGTTGGTATAAATTGGGGATATTTCGGTATTCTATAACATTTATTACAATTAATTTTAAATGCTTTGAATGGATTTATTTCCCAGCACTACCACTTAGAAAGTGGAAATTTTGCAGAAACATTTTGCAAAACAGTTGAAATATTATTTACCAGCATTGAATAACCTGAATTCTGTAAAATAACTCTTCAGAAAATCATTCATTCCAATCTTTGATTGACTTATTTATTACATATTTCACTTATTGTGAATAACCACATTTTTAATCTTGAATTAGTCATTCGAACATATTCATGGAAATTGCATTGCAGATGTGTATTTACATTACAAGCATAAACAATTGCCTAAATCAACTATGAAATTGAAGAAAAAGGTTACTAATATACCTTGATCTTGTAATGTTAAGTTTTCTAATTTCCTTGTCTTCTGGATTATTAATACCAATTGAGAACTAGTATGCAAAGTAAAAAAAAAATTAACTGAAGAAATGATTGTCTGATTCATCACTTGCATTGAAACTTTGTCACCCTGTCCAAACCTATTTCATTACATTAGAAAGAAATTATTTCTGTAAAATTCCTGTTTAATCTCTACTTCATTTTAGATCCAAATTTTAAAAATGCGAAAACGCTGTGGACGCCATTACATGCTGCTGCTTTTCAAGATCACGGAAGGGTATCAGTATTATCTTGAATTGTTTTAGATTTTTATAAATATCCGGTGATTTCAACAGGTTTTTTTATTTTGTATTCAGGTTGTAATGTTATTATTGGAATATGGTGCAAATCCAATGAGTGAAGATTATAAAGGACGAACACCTGCTGATTTTGCATCTGCATCAGATAAAATTTGGTCTCATTTTGATATTATGAACATTTCAAGGTTAGTTTGCTAACGTTGGTAACCTTTCTGAGTGACTCATCACTCGAGTTAACTGAATTAAACGATTCAACTAATCATGAGAAAGAATTCACTTTAGACTCGCAAGACGAGTCTTTGAAATAGAAAAAAGTCTTGGTGCTATTCGATTGATCATGTTGATTAACCTCATATCATAATAGAATGATCAAAAATCTACTCATTGCCGATTGGAACATTCTGGTTTCTTAAGCATATTTTTAAAATTAAACTTTCAAAATTTTCCTAAATTGGTTTTTTATTCCATTCAGAACCTCAAAGGCAAGACTCTTATAAAGAAAATATTCTAAGAGGAAATCAAGATACATTGCCAGAAAACAGTGTTTAATAGTAACAAACATGAAATAGAAAAAACTACATCCACAGGAATAAAGCTGGTAAGCATTACAAAAATATTATAACTGTTCAAACTAATGGTAATGAATACAATAAATTCGAAGTTACAGTTAAACTAGCGTTTGCTCTATTGTTAGTAAAGATTTTACTGAAAGTACAATTTGCCTGTTTATTTATTTAATTTATTCCTTTTTTTCTTTCAGGCTGATTATTCATCACCTTCTAACCATTCGCAGAGCAAAGAACAGGTTAGATTGTTATTTTCCAAACTTCTGAGACTTGAAAAGTAGATGCTTACAAATATTTCTTTGTTACAGTGAACTATGTTACTCCACTACCAATATCATCACAGCGATCACGCTCAGGTATTTTAGATCAATTCAACTTGTTATTTGCTCCTCTGATATCAGTAATTGAAATCAACTTTTTATTATCAATAGTGTCATGCAGTTGGAAAAATTCCATTAAACCCTGGACCATTGAAAAACCTATTTCTAGCTTAGTTTTGGCTACAACCATGGGTTGAAAATTTGCATCCGGTAATTCAAATTTCGACTCCGAATCCTCAGCTTCAATGTCATCTGAAAATGCCGAATTTGCACTCGACAGCCCTCATGTTATGTGCTGGCACTTAATGTTGAAAAATTTAACATATATGAAATAGTGTTCTCCAGTTAATCCAAATGAACATCTGCTCCTAAAGATGAGCGCCAAATTTCATTTTCGATTCTCTTATTGAAACTCTTTATCGAGTTATCCTTTTTCTGAAATAAAGATCATTTCTAATTTTGAAAGTATCGGAATTATTTCATTTAACTTCATTATAGATTTCCAAATATCCCAAACCCTAGCATTGAATGAACTCAAATAAACATAGTTTTGAGCATAGATACTGTATTGATTTCAGTGAGAACCAATACTTCTACACCTGATAATTCAATTTATGAAAGTAAGTACTTTTCTGGTTATTTGTTCTTAATCTTGATATCATAAGTGTACAGTAGTGTGCTTCAGTAACTACTTGAATGTTGATTCTCCAAGTCTTAGTGAGCAGTATCAATGTATTTCATTCTGAGTTTTGTCTTTCGTAAATGTCACTGACCCAAGGTTTCTGCTCATAAAATTTATGTTAATGTGTTTGATTGAAATTCATTATGTGTTTCAGACTCTTTGTTTGATTCTACAACTCTTCCTTTGTCGCGGCCAGGTGAGAATATTTGATAAATTTACAGTAGACTGTAAATGAAATACTTTCATTTACAAACAATTCTTGTAAGTTGAACTTCAAAGCCATACCATTGTTTCCTTAATTTGATGTAGTTTTTCTCACATAATGGAATTGTATTCAATATTCCTCCTATGTCAAACTCAATAATTATCAATAATTACCCAATAATTAAGCGGACCTATATAACATGTTGCAAAATTGTTGATGTTAATCTTGTTGTTGTTGCCAAAACTTCCTTCTTTTTGCAACTAATGGGCTGAGCAGTTCGAAACTTTCAGTACCGGTACTTAGAAGAAGGTTGGTACTTCTACCCATTTATTTTTCAATATTCTTCAAATTCAATGGGACTTGAAAATTATGCTGTTTTATTTTAATTAAAGAGGAATTCCGTTTTATTATGTCATACTTGATTGCCTCTGCCATGCTTATCCATTGATCTTTTCGATTAATTCGATGATCTAAGACTGTAACAGTACCAACATTTTATATATATACGAGATATGACCATTGTTGACTGAGATGATATTTCATGTTACAGAGAGTCAAATAAATGACATATTTGGAAGTGGAAGTTCTACAACAAGATCATCAGTCATGACATCATCCAACACCAGTAGAAGATCTTCTCGCACAAACAATTCTTCTGCAAATATGTCTAGTATTTTAACCTGGGATTAGACTGATACAATTGAAGCTTTGTGCCTCATACGGGATCATCCATGTTGATCTTTGCCTGGCTTAATTGTTGGATAACTTCGTAACCAGATCGCCAACATAACGAATTGTGAGCAGTTAATTGATCAATGGCCCATCAAAAATCCTCTTAAGATTTTATTGTACATTTGTTCACATTTAATGTCATGTTTCCCCACACGCATAGTACTAAACCCGATATGTCATGTAACTTATTCGTTTCTTGTTAAAGAGATAGTTATTTTATTTTTATAATTCAAACTTAATTCTTCAAAACATTTTTGAACATGTATTTACATAATATATCACTGTGATACTTGTTGCATTGATTTTTTTTTTGTCAAAACAAATATTATTTTTGGTACAGAATTATTTATTGCTCAGCAGACATAGTCAAATATTCATAGAACTACTAGTGGCAACTACTCGAAGACTGAATTATACTTCAGGAGATTTTAATTGGGAATTGATCATAGCAACTATTGTTGCGAGTAATGCCACATGCAGTGCCCGCATCAAAAACCAGCACAGACATTTCTCATAGAAAGAAGGCAGTGATATATTTCTTATTCAAAACTACTTGTCACCGGAACGAGTTATAAAACTGAATTGTTATGTTCTTCCTGTAACAATTAAGAATTTGAGTACACAGTTTATATAATAAAAAATAAATAAGTTTATTTCGACTCCATAATCAGCATAATAGAGTGAATAGACGATAAAATAATTGATAAAACTGATTAAGAATCGGAGCAAGCAAACAAAACCTCAAGTAAGGTTTAAACTTAAGAGCGTATAGATTTTAGATGGAAAGGTACGTGTTCACATACGTATGTATAGTATGAAGTATTATAACTTTTCGATGTACTAGCGATTCCTAAGATAATATAGGTTCCAAGGGTATGTTAGTCGTTGGTTCCAAGTGAGAATATATTTTATCAGTTTTTATTTATTTGTTTGTATTGTTATGCTGATTATAGAGTCGAAATAAACTTATACTTATTATATAATATACATACAGTATTCTCATTGTGGTGTCATGAAATACAACAAGGTCAGCATTTGCAAACAATCGCGATTGCCGACATCGATGAACGAATTCGCGTCAATCGCCTTGGGCATTTTGCAAAATGCAGATCGTGTTTTCATTTGGTTAAAATTTTGCGCGTAGTGCTGTAGTGAGCGATAGATTTACTGTTTCGCCAGCCGGAAAACAACAATCGCGACAATAAAAAAAAAGTACAAGATCTGGTATTCCACAAACGTTTGCGTCTAAAATTGAACAATGATTTACAATCAGCTGGGAAATACTGATATGAAAATATCGAATTATTCACTAGGTAAGTTGGATAGGTTTTGTCTTGTACCGGTAGTATTCGATATGGAAACGCAGTTTTTAGATATGCTAACCGGTACCGGTACCTTGTAAACTCAGAACATGTTAGTGCTACACTTGTAACTTCAGAGTAAATTCAATCAATGATTTCAAATTTTTTAGGAAGAAATTTGACAAATTAACAGTAGGGCCTATGAGTAGAAAATCTGTTTCTAATTATTCATTACTTCCTTCAACAAATTCCGATATATATTTATAAAAACCTCATAATTCAGGCAGAAAAAAAATGAATGAAAAAATCAAAAAAACTTATTACTGTACTGATAACTGAATACCATGGCAGGATGAGGTAAATGATTACCTAACACCTAATACAACAACTATATAATTTACTATACAATTTTATTTTGCACCTAATGCAAATCTATATATCAATTTCAATCAACGTATTTGATTACCTGTTGCTCACTGAAACATTATATTGATATGATTCTTTATTACAGAATAAATGTGAAAGTTAGGTCATGTCACATTTTATGAGTTGCTATTAAATTTTAGGTGCATCTGCATTTGGAAGTGTCTACAGTGAGACAGACGATCAAGAATGTGTTGAACTTCTTAAAACAGCATTAAAAAGAGGAGTTAATCTTATTGACACATCACCCTGGTATGGACATGGTAAAGCTGAAACAGTTCTGGGAAAGGTACCGGTACCTTGCAATTTATAGGTATAAGATTATTTTGTATGAAAACAAATAACATACACAAAACATTGGGAAGGGTGGCGAAACCTTTAATACAGTAATAAGGTTTGAAACACATAAAAAATACATGTGCCGGTTGACCCATATTACACACACCAATATATATACGTTTTATATATAAAGAAATATAAAAATACAGACGTGTATCATTCGGGCGTCTAACTTGTGTAACATAGACATACTGCAGTCATGGTGAGCTCCAATATACAACTAGGACAGCAGCACAACAAAGTGCAAAGTCGTCAAAATTAATTCAATTATCATTCATTTATTATTATGAATTATTATTTTCAACGCTATTTAAGATCAAAATTCTAGTAATAACCCTTTATCTATTTTAATTTAAAATTGGTTCCTTAACAAACTAAGCATTGCTTGACGTTTAAATGTTGGTTTGACTTCCTTTTTGTTCTCTAGGTGCCCATAATCTTAATTTTAATTACCTTTAGTTACCCAACATTTTCGTGAATGCAAATATTTTTTGAATCATATCTGAACTGAGCCTTACTGATATCTGTGGTTCTAATTTTTTCATCATTACTTCTAAGACTAAATACAAATTAAATGTTTATATGCATTGTTACATCATAATTGATTTGAGATTTCAAATTTATTTATCAAATTTATTTCTTGCCATTGTTGTAAACTGCTTGTCTGACTCTGATCGGATGAAACGTTGCAGAAATACATTTGTGTTAGTGTGCAGCTGGACTCTTTAATTGGATAGAAAAGTATAAGTTTATTTTGATTTCCCCGAAAAACATACACAAAACATAAGCAAAGAACACACAGAAGTCTTATTTCAGTTTTCGTGGTGGTACTGGTACATACCATCCTGTATGTCTCAGGTGGCTAATACTTGTTTTTAAATTCAACTTTTTTTAGATATTGCCACAGTTGGACAGATCTTCGTGTTACATCAATACGAAGGTTGGAAGATATGAGAAAGATATTTCTGGAATGTTTGATTTTTCGTATGAACGAACGATCAAGTCTGTTGACGAAAGCCTCAAAAGAATGAATATAGATTATATTGATGTCATACAGGTAAAATTTCAAATTATAATAAGGATTCACATATTTATCCCGGGGGAGAGGAACGACGATAAGACGGTTTAATGATATGCCGAACCACGGCCTTTCGTCCGGTTACCAGTCCATGTCGGATATGAGATTAGTTAGCCAGTTATTTGTTTTCGAAAGCATGAACTTGATGGTGGAGGAAGCCGGCGTGGAGGAGGCCAGCAATCATCTCCACATAACTATCCCCGCATGGGATTTGAACCTGCGAACGCACGCAGGGCAATCAGAAGTGCTGTGGCGAGCGTATTCTTAACACTCAGCATGATGCGCCACACCGCTGAGCCAATATTACTGTATGCTGAGATAATATCTGATAGAAGAATTCTTCACAATGAGGTGGCAAACTTTAGAAAAAAAATTTGTGATGGCTTGAATGGTGTTTTTCCCAACAGCATGAACACACTGTAAGAAGCAAACATTACAAGTTTTAGGACTTTTTCAACTTTAAATATATTATAGAACAGTTCATCAGAGCAATGAATAGAAATACAAGAAGTCTATTTATCACCTCATATAGACATTCATATTATTGGTAAAACTTCATTTGTTTCTTTCTAGTTGTTCATTTTCCTATTATAAGTCACTTGCTATTTGATCAGCACCTTGGGCAACAGATTTTTAGTAGAGGTCGTACCATTTCTATGCTTTTGCGAATCTTAGTCCAACTTAATTTTTATCACAGCGTTTGATTTGTTTTTTGAGTTTAAAAAATGAACTATTGTTATTCCTATCTATAATATTTTATTCAGCATGACTAGTTTCTTAACATCCATACTTGTCAAGTTATACAAGTATAGAATTTTCAACTATCAAATTATAGTTCCATTCCAAGTTATGTTTTTGGACAGCAGCACTCAAATTTATTATTGATTTATAATCTTTGTTGTTTGTCAAATAACCAATTTTGTGTAGATCTGCTCTTAACTATGACAGAAGTGATCATTTTGTTGCAGGTTCATGACTTTGAATTTGCACCAAATCTGGAAATCATTGTGAACGAAACCTTACCAGCATTACAAAAGGTGAAAGAGCAAGGAAAAGCTCGATATATTGGCATCACTGCTTATCCTATTGATGTATTAAAGTATGTTTGTGGTAAAATTAAGAACTCGGCAGCGTATTTTAAGATTTCTTTTACGGTATGAGTTTATATATTTCTTTTTACCAGATCTCTCATTCAAAAGTCTAAAGTGAAAATCGACTCAATTCTCAGTTATTGTCATGGATCAATGAATGATAATTCGTTACAAGATCATATGGCGTTTTTTGAGGTAATTGAACCGTTTGGCTCAGAAATTTATTACAACAATAGCTAGTTTTCAAAAGATAGGCCATGCTATATTTCTCTGTTAAAGTCCTCAAACAAGATTCAATGCATCCATATAGATTGTCCAATTAGCGATTTTGAGTTGCCTTTAATGAAGATCAATCTTGACAGTTAATTTTTTTCCTATACTTTTTTTTCCTTTCTATTTATTGTATGTCTTCCTCGATAGTAGAATAAATAATCAGTAATGAGTACAGATACCTAATGACAAGGATATAACATAAGTGGTTTTTCCAGCACTCGACAAGGATATAACATACTGCATTTGCTCGTTTTGCAGCCCGGGCCCATATTTTTTTAACCAAACTCACTAACGGGCTCTTATTCAAACCGGCCCTTATTCAAGCACGGGCGCTGGTTATTTTCAAAGTAAAATTATACACAAAATATATTGTCATTTCCAGTTCTCAGGTATTGATTTAAACGAGAATAATGAAAATTTTGACTTTCGGACGCCTAAGGCGTGAGTGTTATCCACCAGCGCTAAAAAATTCAACAGCGTTTTGACAAAAGCGTCCTTTTTTCCTATTGTCCTCTACCACTGAAAAATCAGCTTTTACATCGGGCGGGTATTCGAGCACCGGTCCTTATATATTTTTATGTTCTGTTCACACGGGCGGCTATTCAAACGGGCCCTTAATCAAGATCGGGCGGTAAAACGAGCATATCTGGTAAGTGGTTTTCCAGCACTCATCAGTTCTCTATATACTTAACATCTTGCTTAACAAACTCGCAAATAAAAAATAACGAAAAGGAGTTCCACTAAGCAGGCGTGATAACTTTCACTATGAATGGAGGTTCTTAGTCCACGATTTCAACATTTTACTCTTCTATCATTGCGTACACTGACAACTATGATAAATTCTGTTTCAATTTATTTTCCTATAACAGAGCCAGGGAATTGGTGTGATAAATGCATCTGGATTATCTATGGGGTTATTAACAGATCGAGGCCCAGCTAAATGGCATCCTGCTGGAGTAAAAATAAGGGAAGCATGTAAAAATGCTGCTGTATATTGTCAGGTGCGATTTGTTCTTTTGTATACCATAAAATACCTTTTTTGCATTATATTTTCTTTAAAAATAAAATAATATTCTGTAGCACGACTCACTCGGGGCATTGAGTGTTCTTTTTAACATTTTCCCTTGGTAAGCAATATAACATTAGAGTTACTCACATGACTATACGGTTGTCATTGGACCATAATCTTGTGAATGATTTCATCAGATCTCCTTCACAGAACTTCTGGTCAGTCTAACCCACCTCCACGTTCTATATATAGTAGATATATATATATATATATATGCTTCATCTTAGTCAATTAATTGGTTAGCTTATTTTTACCCATCTAAGATGGTAGCTTGACAAGAGGCTGTGCTTTAACATCTGATTAGGACTTCTAGACATAACTCCTCCATGATATAAATATGGTAAATATTATACACTGATTTTTTTTTATAGGAAAGAGGAAGCAACATATCGAGGCTTGCTCTTTACTTCAGTATCAGTCAACCGAAGATTGCATCTACACTGTATAGTACATCAAAGTAGGCTGTTTTATTGTTTTCTTTTATATTGGTATATCAAGCCTAGTGAACATATGGCACAACAAGATCCTTATTGGATATACTGTTAGGAACGATTAGTAAAGCTTTTCGAGTCCCTGTGGAAACTTTTGATTTGTAACATCATTACTCAAAACCTGAAATTCTCCTTTTGGCTTCCAACTGCAGGGAGATTGAAATTACAACTCCAATGAAAATATTACAAACTCTGGCTCCACAGCTCAAAGTAATTTAATCAAAGTGTATTTTGATATTGATTTTGCTCTAAAAAATCTTTGGCTACTTTTTGTGATAACTATCATCGCTGACCCTTTTCAGACTTGCCAAGCTTGAAGCAAATCTAGATGTTGTTGAAAATGGAATCACTGATGAAGAGAAACAATTGATGGGTGAAGTTGTTGAAAGGTTGGTTGGTATATGTAGATTGGTACTACTTCATGTAGTTGGAAGTAAAATTCTGACCATTCTTACAGAAAACCTAACTAATTTGCTTTTTGGTTTCCACATCATCCGAAGTATTAGGAATACTCTTGCCATTGCATCTCTGATTACCCTGCCCAAGTTTGCAGATTCAAATTCTGCGACTGGGAGATATTTATGTGCCAGAAGATTACTCCAGTCCCCACTGTCCCAGGGGTGCTTATGTGACTGCTGATCGGTTAAGACTTCCTCCACCATCAAGTCTATGCATCTGAAACCAATTATTGGTTAACTGTTCCCAGATGGAAGGCCGCGATTCGTTGTATGATTAAACCGCCTTATCAACTTTCTTATCACTTGGGGTAAAATGGATAGTCCTATCCTATGATAAGGATAACGTAAACCAACTTTTCATGTTGGCAAGAGTATTTAGTTCTTTTTTCTATTGTTCACTGATTTAACAACTTAATTTATGTTGTTTATTATAAACTCCATTCTCATCATTTTTTCAGATTTTTCGATCCATTAGAGAGTAAGTCATGGGAAGGTGTTGAAGTTGAATCTTATTGGAAAAAATTGAAAAAAGCAAGCGAAGGTGGATCACAAGATTTTGAGTATGCATAAAATGAATGCCATTTCGTATTATGAGAGAATCATTTCAGATTTTAATGCAGTCATAATTTTATATACTCTGGTGATATATGCATTTTATCTATATCTACATACATATTATTTATCTTTTAGGAGATGCTGAAACATTAATTTTTGTTTCGCATGGTGTTATGTGCAATTATTCTTGCTTACATTTATTTTAGAAATAATAATAGTGGAAATTTCTGTTTGATGAAATCAATTTTTCATTCTGCCAGATTGATTCTCATTAATCTACCCTGATAGATTTCTATACAACTTATTATATGCAATATCATTTTTTCAAGAAATTCGTACAGTGGTTTATATCAAATGTGTGCCAAATTTTTTCGACAAAAATGCGCTACGGAAAGGAAACATAAGTACGATTTTGAAATATTAAAATGAAAAAATATGGCAAAAACAGTCACAAAATTTTTTTGAATTCTGATGGAAGTAATTTTTGTAATATATAATTGAAATATTAATCTACCTTCTTCCACATTTTCTTTTTGAGGATACCGTATTTTTGTTAAAATAGTATCGTTTTCAGTAATAACAACTATTTTAAACTCAAAATTTCTAATCTTCGTCACGCTGGAATGAAAATTTTCCTTTGTTTTCGTAATTGAAATTATAAACTTTTTAATTTGTGAGCGTTATTTGCCAACGTGCAGCTTATTGTGCAATTTACTGATTTATTATTTTAACTTATCAAATTGTAATGTAATCAAATACAGTATTATGATCGGTGAATTTTTTGGTTCATAATTTCCTGACGAGGTATTTTCAAAAATGGAAAGGCGCTTCCTAAAATGATTAAAAAGTGTAAAATGCTCTCGGCAATCATACATTTATAGCAGGCCTGCACAACATACGGCCCGCTAGGTACTTCTGTGCGGCCCGCGGGTGATTTGGAAACACGCCACTTCTCGGGTCTAACAATCAAAGTCGACATTGTTATGCAAGCGCGCCGCTACTCTGATCATATTCGAAATCGGTATATTTATGTTTTGCACTAGTTTCAATAAATATCGAACTTTGTGTGAAATTGGTGTGCCCGTCGCGACCCCTCGCCCCCCAGTTTGGGGAACCCTGATTTAGATATCTCAGTATTCAGACTGAATCACGCTTAAAACAATATCGGTATACAATCTCACACCCATTAGTGCATATTAGCAACCTATTAATAACCCCATTATTTTTTACTAGCAGTTTATGAAACTGAAGTTTATTTTTTGATTCAAATTTAGAACTTAAACAATTCCTTCATTTATGAATGGTGCAGTAATACTCGCACAGAAGATTTTGCTATTTACTGTAAAATTTTAAATAAATTGGAGCAAATTTTGTAGAAAAATGTAATTTAACAGTCAAAATAGTACAACAGAGGAAGATCTATTGCTACTAAGCGGATTGTTTGTCTACTCTATCCTACAATGGAAATATCCAATAATGGTATTTATGACTAAATAAATTGTCATTCATAGATTTGGGACGATTTTACAAAACTGAACCTGAGTAAAATATTTTCCTGCAGTCAGTTTATACTGCAAAACGCAATACCTTATTCTAATGAAAAAAAAATATTGAAAATGAAGGGTGCGTTTTCAAGGTAGATGAACCACTAAATACATATTTGCCATTTCATATGCAAAAAAACTGTACCTTGGTTTTACTCAAGAAAATAAGATTTTTCCTATTTTTAAGCTCCCCAGTAGTGAAAGTGTTTCATTAAAGTTAACTGTTTCACAATATTATTTTGATTTGTAGTTCATCTAGTGAAATATGTATGTGGCAAAGTTTGCGGCCCGCCGGGCCTTCAGATCTATGCTTGCGGCCCTCGTGGTAATTTGAGTTGTGCAGGCCTGATTTATAGGTAAGCATGCCATTTGATCAAATGTATTAAAGATTTGAGTGTCGAAAGTTTTCAGTGCCAATTGCTATTAACTCCTTTGCGAGCATTTCTAAAATTCACGCGAGATGGAGTAGTGCAACGAACGAAAATGCTGTGTTTTGGTCGATTAGTTTCTCGCGTGGCACACCCTCGATACCAATGATAGACAAGTGTGACTGTTATTTACTGTTTTAATACACTTGAACTTGATTAAGAACGTTGATATAAAAACACAAAATAACCTAGAATTGCTGGAGTTAGATATGCACTTCGTCAATTTCAAATGGCGTTCTTGAATTGACCTGCTGTATTGGAGAACGGCTGGCAGATACGAAAAGTATGTCATCGGCCCGGCAGCAGTATGGGACTAGCGAGAGCGTTGAAAGCGTAGGTCGTAGGCCATTGGTTTTCTTTCAACCTTTTTGATGGAGCAGAACCTCGAACATTCCAGAGGCTCGAGGAACCATTGTGCAAATGGCATAATTGTGTTTGTACTTATCGATTTCAATCGGTAAGTATGTTGATAGGTATTTGTCTGTCTGTCTGTTAGATGCACGCGATATCTCACGAAAGCGAAATTGAATCTGCTCCAGATTTTGCATGTGCCATCATATGTCGGACCAGAAGCCTATTGATTTTGGATGAATTATGTCGTATAATCAGTGAGTTATTGATTAATTAGTGATGGGACACAAGGTGTCACTATGGAGTAAGAGCGCTTTTTTGAGGGATCCCCTAACTTTCGACCGATAAGTCTTCGGTCTCGTTTACGTTTTATCACAAATCTCTCCTTACCCGTCAGGCTGTAAGAAGAATTGTATAAACTATAAAACAAAATCATAATTGAAGTGTAACAAGTTTTAATTTATGGAACCCCTGGAATGTCCAGGTTGAACACCACTAGCGTAGACTCTCTATCCAAAAATATGAAGCGATTTAGGCAGGTGATATATTTTGAGCTTGCTCAAATGTATACGCATATTGTTTATATGTGCACTTTTATACATTTGAAACGAAATCCAGCAGTCTATACATTTTCACTCGTCACAGCATTTAAAGTATTGAAATTGTAATAAAATCGATGATAAATATTATACTGACGAAGTCGTGTGCAGGCCGCCAGTTATAGTATGCGAATGTTTAGATTATGGCAGATATATGCAAATTGGATAAGTTCTGTATATTGCATACTAAGCGGCGCTGACGGTAGCGCATTTGCTGCTCATAGCAGACAACGCCGGAAATGAATGGTCTTCAAGCATTGCACTCTGTGTTTTTCGTTTTGAAGCTTGACGAAGTAATGTTATTTCCTGGGCTCGTTTGCTCATGGCTACTTCAGCTCTTTCCAAAAATGCGCTCCTGGCTGATCGGTCCATTCGACGGTGGCGCTACAAATAGGTTTTGTATCGTTGAAAAATGCTATTAATCACAAGTTAATAGTTTCTAGTTTCTACACGAAAGAGTAAAGGGTAGGAATATTCAATTTTATTGTAAACAGTTGCAAAAATGAGCAGTGGGTTCTCCTTGATTAGAAAACGAAAAAAATTTATGTTCGGATAAGCAATGATGCAATACTCGCTAGGGAATTTTTTTTAGAAAATTAATCATGAGAAGTTGTTTAACCATATTTGGGCCTAGTGCGCCAATGCAACATCAAGTATTGTTCTGATAAGTGATAATTATCAGTGAGTATCTTCTGTTTATTTCTGTAATTTCTCAGGGCAACTTACTATGCTTTCAACATTTTCATCAAATATTTGTACAGTTTACTTACTGAAAATGCATGCATTTTGTTTGGGAATGGTGCTTTAGGTAGAATAAGTTCCCTATCCCACTGCGGAGTTTCCTCACGTTCATGAGTTATCCGACTACCGGGTTCCACGTCACGTGTTACAACTTGAAATGTCGGTCCGATTACTACGAAAGATAAATGAATGTTAATATTTCTCCACTACGTTTAAAGAGGAAAGATTATAGAAATTTTAAATTGAATAAAAGTATCAAAAATTATTTCGGTATTGCCAAGGTAATTCGCTGCATTTTCTCAAGTTATGGTGATAAATGTAAATATTGTGATGAACCATTTTTTCACAGTCGTTTTTGCAATTCACTTTTTCCTCATCTGAATGATTACAAAATTTATATAATATATATTCAACATATTAAATTTTTACGAACTCGTTCTCAGATGTTTTGACTTAAAATTGATTCCCATTGGATCTCGGTCATATGACGTCATAAATTGTGGCAGTCCGAGTGATTTCAGTGGAGGGTACTGCATAAAAGAAAACAATAACTACTTCTGTTCTTAGGTTTATAATGCATGGAAGAAAACAAAAAGTGGTATAAGCAAATAATCACGAAATCAGGTAGCCTAACACAATTCCAGCAGTTTTGGCATTTATTTCAAATCGTTTGGGGACATTTTGGATCTATGTTTTGTGGTTGCTCACCAAGTGACAAAATACCGTAACCTGTAGCTAGGCTGGACTATATATTGGCTACTGTTTAATTCTCTGACATGTAATCATTATTGCTATATTGAAGCAAATCTAAGCAGTTTTAATCATGCTTACTTGTCTAAAATCGTGTGGTTTTGGCATTTCATACTGCGGCGGTTTGTACATTCCATCTTTTACAAATTGAGCCTTTGCTTCACTTGGATCAAGAATGTGGAAATACACAGCAAAATTAGGCCGTCGTTCAAATTTTGTTTTTGGTAGATTAATTGATGAAGCTTGCCGGACTAAATCTGCAAGTTCCATTTCTCGTTTAAAGTCTTTTTTCCTTCGAAAAAATACATATTATATGATCGATAATAACATTTCCAGTGTAAATAGTTATATCTTTTCATAAAAAATTGTATGAAATTAAGCCTTCGAATATTATTTTAAACCATAATTTTGGGACCTCCAGAAGTATGCGCACCAAGATGGCGCACAACCTGAGCACCAAATTTTGGATGAAATATCGATCTCGTACGCCCCAGAATTTTTTTTTTTAATTTGAAAGTATTAGCAATCTTTCATATTCAAGTACTGATTCAAACTTTAACTTCGAAATTGGACCGCTAGTACACTTCGTGTGCAGCACACGATAAACAATTTTATAGCAGAGGGTTGATCGCGTAGCGTTCAAAAATACCTTTCGGCTGCTGGTACTACCAACTTTGCATATTTCCTGCTTGATTCATTTTCGTATTTCTCGGGTCTGATCGCTTCTCTCGAATTTCTCTCAGGGGGTTTCACACTGAAAGCTTGTGGATTAAAATTAGGGGGTTTTAGAGTCCAAATATTAATCTCTTCTTCTTGTTGTCGAGGCTTAAACTTTCTGCTTCGCCAGCTGGAAGTATTCTCTCGAGCGATAAAACGGGCCTGAAATAAGATTTAGCCCTGTAATCTCGATGCGCCTTCTTACCTTTTTTCTCTTACTAAAATGAACTGACATCAATCCATAATGGTATTTTGTAAGGTGGATGAAACAAAAATTTCATTTTGACATGTTTTAAATAAATAAATATATATACAAGGTGGGCCAAAAAAATGTTACCATTTTTTACATTCTGAATGTTTTGGCCCACTCTGTATATACAATTGCAGAATAAAGTTAGCAGAATATCATATTTTCAAAAGTATGGAAGTATTAGCCTCGCACAATTCTTGAGTGATTTGGCTAACGGTGATACAACCACTTTCAATTCCCACCTTAGATTGTTGATAGACAAGAGAGAGGTTTTACATTGTTTTGTTGTTTACGCTTGTTTGGTACATTCAAACTTATTCCCATTCGTGACAAGCATTGTTTTCTTATAAATGCGCGTGAATCGTGACAACACAATGAATCAGATTATAAATGTTGCTGGCAAGCATAGTTATCATTTACCAGATGAAACATTATTTTATCCAACCCTCTATATTTGCTCATGAAATTCCAAATGAAGAATTAAATTTCGGTATTTTTAACTAGTTGTACAATCTACTCAGATTGTTGATTTCTTCTCACGAACCATCAAATATTTACTGATATAATTTTAAAACTCTTTACAAATGAACCGTATTTTAACTGACCTTATCGAGAAATTCAAAAGAGGTTTGTCTTTCGATGTACGTTGATCTGTTTGATTGGTACGAGCTAGCAGAGTTGCAGTTTCTCGGCGCTTGCTGACTCTCGTAGTCCGGCAGTGAGTGGGATAGAGTTTTTATATGTTCTTGAGTAGTTTGCGGTCGTATGGACACAGGAATCATTTTTATTTAGGTAGTTCTTTGGCATATAATATGTCATAAAAGTTTCCACATTCTGTAGGGTAAATGATAAGCAAGGACGAAATAAACGGGAGTATTTTTAAATCTGTAGTGTATTGCGAATTGACACAAAATTTGGGTGGAGAAAACAATGGTATAAAATCCAAATATTACGTCCTACTCGTCGAGTATGATTCAAATCATCTTTAATTTGTATTAATGATTATGTGATCAATGTCCAACTTCACTTTGTCTACTAGTTACTAATTGGTAACCCATATCACTCATCTACAGGGAGTGGAAGGATCCATTTCCCACGTTTAAATTGATATATATCGTAAGTTCGTGTTCGAGAAAGATTCCATTAGCTTAGCGGCTGGCTGTGGCTGCCTATGTAGACCATAATACAGGTGTGGGCAAGGTTTTTATACCAGAGGCCAAAATTTTGCCCGTCTGAATTGGCGGGCCATATAAGTGTGGTGTAAAAAGTTACATATTATGAACTTTATTTACAGTATTACAAAAGCAAATGCGGAAAACAATAAGCCTCCTGCCAAAACTAAATTTAATCACAATCTCAACAAATTCCTTGTTTAGCTAAAACATCAAAATTTGGTTTCAGTTTGATTGTGGTAGCATCAGGTGGGACAGATTAAATCACCCAACGGGCCGGATTTTATCCGCGGGTCGTAAATTGCTCATGCCAGCCATAACACCTTAAACAAGCCTTGGGCAAAACTATTGCTGTAATTTTTGTTATGACAATTTCAATTGTTTCCATATTATATATAAATATATTTCGATGAAATAATTCTCTTCCTTCGCTTAGTTTCATATACGACTAATGTTACATCTGTATTCATTTCTTGATTTATGACAAATATATATTATTATTTGTTATAACGAAAACGAAAAATCTGATTTGGGCGTATTTATCCATGGTTGGTTAGTCTAAAAATTCTCTCTCACTCAAACTGTTTCTCAACGCTTTGTAGTTTTGTTGTAGATAAATTTTTTACAAATATCTCAGCTCAGATCGCTTTTATTACTCTCAATTATAGTTCCATTTGCGACATTTATCTGTTGCTATGAACACTATGTATCATAGCCGTCATAAATTACAGGCAGAATAAATATTTGATTTTTATTCAAATATTATGTTTAGCTTCTTCAAATGGATGGATATAGTACTTATATATCGGCGGCATGGATTATCGTGGACATTGTTTCGAATGGTTTGCGTTCATTTTTTTGTTTTACCTCCTCTGTATAATTGAATTTTTTCACTGGATTTGCATTTTTCTTGAAGCTCGAACGGATATTTTAAATGGGTTTACTCTTCTCTTTTATTGATATCAAATCGTTTAACTATCTCTCAAGTATATCAGCGTACACCGAAATATTCAAACTTTCTACTCAACATTATTATCACCATGCTATATCGCTTTGATGTCGGTTGAAGATACTTGAATTTTACGAACATATTTCCACTTAGAACAAAGGCGGTTATATCAGTTTCTTCGAGTTTTGTTATCGAGAACGTTACCGGTCGAACAGTACACATTAAACCACCAAACTACAATAGAAATGTGACGCATCATTGTTATTCCAAAACGATTGTGTGCGAAACAATGGCTACAAAAAGGTAAGTGTCATTCCCAGATGATTAAAAAGTATGAGAATACGTTTAAAAATGGGGTTTAAAAATGTATCATATTAATTGTCATATTAATGTGTGTATCCAAAACCAAAGTTTTTTTTATTAATTTCGAATTAAAATGTCGAAAAATATTTTAAAGAGTCCTCAACTTTGTTTTTGTTATGACGACATTGGAAGTTAGCTGGGCTAGATAAACTTGTTTTAACAAAAGTTTATTTTTTCACAAAATTTATCGAAGCGCTTGCATCGCATTGCTTTGTCATTATTTAGCACTAGTCGGGTATTATTTGCTCCGGACTGAGCCACAGAGGTATATACTGCTTTAAATAAAAAATAAAGACAAAAACACACGCCCGCCCTCGTCGAGAGCTCTATGTCTATCTAACCTAAATCAGCTGATTGAGTATATTTCACGAGCGCCGTCGAATTTAACCTATTCGCATAGACTTAATCTATATCGCTCACGTTATATTAAGGGTGCGAAATGCATTGTTTTTAATAAATTCGGCTAATGCGGTTGTAGTTTATACACACCTTGGCAATATTGTTTTTCAATTTCGTCTTTTCCTGGAATATGATAAGTCTTTTTGCTTATTAGCTTATTTTTTTTAAATTTTAAAATATTTTCAAAAGTATTGATTACTATCAACAAGAGAGCTAAGCTCAAATATATGGACATGTCACAAGGTGTCGCTATTTTTTATTCTGACACATAAAAAACGATTCTCTTGGAATCCACAAGAATTTTTGAAAAAAGGAAATGTAATAGCCTTCTGGAGAAAAATTCCATCTTTAAGTACTAAAAATTTTGGTCCAGTAATCGAAGAGAAAAGCGATTTTTCAAAAACGTGTCCTAGATCATAATATTGAAACGATCGTTATGTCCACTTAACGTCCAAACTAGTAAGCGAAGAACAAGCCGTAACCTTCTGCGTGATTGAGCCGTATTACTTCTCCACAAATAAAATAGTCCATTGACTTCGAATCAATCGAATGTCCATCTTAATCGGTGTATCTTCCTAGTACGATGTGTAATGTTCGCTCCCACCTGTCCACATCAAGGTTGACGTGGATTATCGAACACAAAGTGGACTTCAGGATTGATTTTTGGTGTTGTTGTTTCTATGGCTTGCCCTTTTATCGAAAAACAATCCATACTCGCCACCGCTGTCGTTCATCACGCTGCTGCCTACTTCACTCGAGCGAAGCGAGAAATTATCTATGGCTTCTGATTGCCGTCGCTCATGAAGTTCATTGTTATAAACGTGAAATGAAAGTACTTTTCATAAAGTACGATCAGAAATGAAAAAGAGAGTATAAATCATCGCAAAATAACATCACACAGTGCAAAATTAATTTTTTGAATATTATAGGGCGTCCAAAAAGCGTATGCCGCGTATGTGCGGAACTTAAACCGAAATTTTATTCCCCACCGTATGGCACATTAATCAAGGCCACACGGCCATTTGAAAGACTGAGTATGGACTTCAAGGGACCTTTGCCATCGCGGACAAAGAACGTATACATGCTAACCATTGTCGATGAATATTCTAGATTTCCATTTGTATTTCCATGCACCAATCTTTCTTCCGCTTCAGTAATAAGCTGCCTTGAAAAATTATTTGCTCTGTGCGGACTACCTGGTTATATACACTCTGATAGAGGAAAATCTTTTATGTCTGCGGAACTAAGGGATTTTCTGCTGAAACGTGGTGTAGCCACCAGTCAATCCTCGCCTTATCACCCAATTGGAAACTCCCAAGTTGAACGATTCAATGGAATCATATGGAAAGCCGTGCGTTTATGCTTGCGTACATATAATCTGCCTATCACACATTGGGAATATGTGTTACCGAAAGCTCTTCAATCGCTCCGATCTTTGCTTTGCACAGCAGTCAATGCAACTCCACATGAACTATTTTTCAACTTCCAACACCGCTCTCCCAGTGGTCATTCATTGCCTACCTGGTTGTGCGAATCAAAACATGCTTTTTTGCGGAAATTCGTTCATTCGCACAAAAATGACGATTTAGTTGAACAAGTGGAACTAAAAAATGTGAATCCCGCATATGCTCGAGTTCGTTTTTCTGATGGGCGGGAGAGTACGGTATCGTTAAGAGACTTGTCCCCTTGTCCAGTCTCCCAACGATCTTCAAGTCACGATAGAGAGTCTCAAGACTTTTCTCCTGAATTCAATATGGACGAAGATAGTGAAACAAGTACTAATGCGTCACCACTAAATGATGGATGCAACGTTGACCGAAATGAAGAGTTCAAAATTGAAATTCCAATTAGCTCTGACAATGCTAATAATGAAAGGATTGCCACACGTCGTTCAACTCGAACTAACATTGGTGTTCCACCAGAACGCTATGGTTTTGAAATATAGACTGGGAGAATGTTATGAGAATTAAGTTCAGTTATTCCTGTTGCAGTGTGCTACACTTTGTTTATATTCCGTCATTATTACATTATCGTTCTTTGTGTTGTGATCACTGATTATCGTCAAGCGACAACGGACTGCATTTGCCTTACTGCATTAGTTACGTGCCGTTACGAGTATTAGACGGTAGTCCGATTAAGTTTGGCTATACTTAGTGACTCAATGTAATTATGTTGCATGTTCTTGTGTTTAGGTTAAGATGCGTTTTTAGTTTCTTAAAGCCATAATTTTGGTTATAATAAATAAACTGTCATAACAGGTGTTGAATGTGGGTAAACTGACGTATGTATTAAACCTTTATAAAGGTTTTGTCAGTGTTCCCGATTTTCCCTATCTCTTGTGCGTTCATTGTTTGTGTATGCTTTTTTGCGGGTAAAAAAAACTTATACTTATTATACTTATAACTAGCTAGACCAAATGCGGGTTTATGTTTTTATGTTATTCTAGCTGCAGGAGTCGCCATTTTTTAATGTTAAAGAAATATTACTAGAAGTTCTTTGAGGCGTGACAGGTTGGCAACCAGAATCAGGTAATGTTAGTCGTGAAATCGTAAAAAATTGCTGCCATTACTGCTCAATTTGAAACACGTTCCTAAACACGCGTACTTTCATATTGCTTACGTTGACAAAATCCAGCACAAACGAGAACTTTCACGCTATCTTTTAATTTCCGAATACCTTACTTCTTCAAGTCCTTATTATAAATATCTTATTCTTTATTTTATGGTTTATTATTTTCGAGTAGAATGCGTGAACTTATTAACGCTTTTTGAAGTCTAACAGCTACAACGCTATATAGCGGTAGAGGTGCGTTCCTGGTTCCAAATAATGAAATAAGTCGTGAGTTTGGACTGTTGTTTATCAACTTGTCAGTATAGTGCCGCTTTAGATGTTTTATGCTATATCTAGATGTTTTGTTCAAGATCTGGATGTAAAATTTGGAGTCTAGATGTTAGCTATATATATATATATAAACTGTTATGAATCCACAACGTGGACCTTCAAAAAAAAAAAAAAAAAAAATTTGGAGTCTAGATGTTAGCTATAAAATCTAGATACTTTTTCTTTACGACATTTTAAATATTATCCAGTGGAAAATAAAAAAGCGATGTGTATAACAATTGTTAAACGAATAGTATGTAGTGTACACAAAAAAAATGTGTACACTAGAAACATATAAAAATCCCTCTGTAGCAACAACATCAACTTCAAATGATCTTTGAAATCTAGACTTCTATGATGTGATATAATGAACTATTTGTACCTTCTTGTTTTGTTTATTTTTATTGAATTTAGTAACTTCATGTTTAGATGATATTAAGATGTTTTAATTTCCAATCTAAATATTTTGGGTCTCATGTAGTTTCGTACCTAACATACTTCTAGTGGCGTAGCACAGTAGCATGACAATTTTTTCACGTATCAATCCCAACCCCCACCCCTGACTAAGCCATCCAAAAATTACGTCAACACGACGTCACAGTGACGTAATAGAGCCCTTCAAAGTATACCGGTACGAACTGCCATCCAAGACGCACAAACGAGCACCCGGAATCAAACAGTTATTTCTCTCGTTTTCTTGTCGCAACGATTCCAATAGGAGAGAGATCGTTAATGTCAGGTAGTTCTTTATCGTCGGCGCCAATGCCATTTCGGGTGATTGTACGTATATTTAGCAAGCTCTATGACGTGACGTGATTGATTCAGAAAAAAGTGGCAGCCCTCGATATGGATCTTATTCATCCCTATGTGCAGCTGCAGAAGTTCGTCTTTGTTTTGACCAAGCAGAAGTACCTGTGGTAGAACTAGGATATACGGTACCAGACCTATTTCCTGACGTTTATTTTCACATCATGTTTTCGTTTCATGTTTGGCGTTATTTGGGCAGTTACGGTGTTTACTTCGCTAAACCAAAATCTATTGCTGAACCCTAATACTGTAATAAGTCAATATACCCTTCATCGAGAACACCAAGCCCTAGCAACTGTAGACAGTTGAGCATCAGAAATTTTTGTATATGACTGTTAAGTTTATGAATAAATACAGAAGTTGATAGTTATTATTACATCATGATGAGTACCAAACGAAAACTTGACTAGTTTAATTGAAAAATTTATGTATCAATACTGTTTGCATAGTTCTGTAGTTCAATTTTGCTTCTGTGAGACAAAATGTTTGATACAGGAATACTAATAGCATTCAATTTGTTTTGTTATATACAGATAAATACTATTAATTTTAGTCTTGTGAGTATGGCAGCCATTCCCCCGATGTATGCGCCACCGGTTGCCCAGCAGCCAATAGGTCAGAATCTACCAACTCAACAAGGAGTAATTGATCCAGAAAAGAAGCGCAGTAAATATAAGGACATCTTATATCGGCTTGGCATGACAGAACTTCTATTTGGAGTCTTATTTATCGCTTCATGCATTGCTAGTTTGGGTTTTGCAATCGGAGTGACCAACCAGGGTTATGCAAGCTACAGTTATTATTCTTCTTTTGGCATTGTGTATGCATCTCCAGGAATATGGTGTGGAATCTTTCCAATTATCAGTGGAATACTTGGAATTTGTGCAAGAAAAAACACATCTACTTGTATGTATGGATCAAACATGATCATGGCTATATTCACGGCAATATTTATGGGAATACTTTTCAGCATTTCTCTGCCTGCTGCTATAATAGTCACTCACCCAGCTATTATAACATTCCAGATTCTCAACACCCTTGGAAGCTTTGCGATTTTAATTGTCTCGATTGTGCATTCTGCTTACTGCTGTGCAGGAGTATGTTGTGTGCCTCCTACACACTCCACAAGAGCATATTATACAGCACAACCAGTGGGACAACAATATGTCCAACTTGCTAATGGTCAATATATGCTCGTTCCGAATCAACAAATTCCAGGACAAGCTTATTCTGTTGTCGGACAACCTACAGCAATGCCTATGCCCATGCCGCCTCAACAAAGTGGATTCACGCAGCCTGGTGTCTCTGTGCCACAATATTCTTCACCTGCTGTACAGCAACCTTATGCAGAACCAACGAAACAAGCTTTACAACCAGGTGCTAACCCACCATCATATTATAGCTCTGTAAATTATGCTGCCAATCCGAGCTATCCTCAGTGAAAGAAAGGATTATGCAGGCTTGAATAGATATTGTACTCGCTTTTACACACTATCATATCATATATTCATATTATTGCACAAAAGTAATTTGAAAACGTCCGTGTCTGAGATAACTTTTTCACACATCTTACTGGTTATCAAGTCCTGTTATTCACTGTCAATTAGGTATGATCTGTAGACTATTCAGTCATACAAAAGTGTTGTTTAGTGTTTCAAATTGTATTTTGTCGGTTGATAATTGTCGACTGTATTGTATCAGTCTTGTATGCTTAGATTAACACCAAAACATGAAACCCCGCTGCCTCCCAGCTGACTGAGAATGCAGTAAAAATATATATTTGGCTTATCCGAGTATGGTAATTGAAATTTCTGTGTAGCACAGATTTTAGTATGGAATACAGAATTGAAATTTATTTGAAATTGAAATATGAAAAAATGAAAAGTTTATTGTATGCAGAACAGTATCTAACAAGTAACAACCATAACTCAAAACTTGCAACAAATATAATATATGCTATTTAAAAATGATATCCAGTATTCACTTTTTTTTTTGAGTTTCTAATTAATTGAGAAAATTGTTAAAAGAAAGTAAAATATAAATTATAAATTATGATTTTTCAATGTCAATAATGTTCAATTGTTCACAATGTTGAATAACTAATACACATCTATTAATATAAAAATAACGTTATATCATAGTTTGATTTGATTTTGAATTTATTTCCAAAAAGAGCTTTTTTTAATGGATGTAGTAGCAGGAATGAAATCTCTTGTTTACAAACAATTAATTAGGGTTTTGAATATTTTTTGTTGAAGGTTATTGATATTAGTGTTGTATCCGCCTTGTATAGTTAAAAGAAAGTTATTAAATTTTATGTCTGTTGTGTTCAATCATTTCAATTCTGTAATTTGTACATATTACTTTATGGATGACCTCTCGTTTTTATGATTTATTCTGATATTTCTCATAGTGCATTTATCTATCCACTGCTACTTAAAAGGCTGCCAGTTTTAAAGTCATATCCCTTATATAATAAATATAGAATGGTACTTTGAATGATTTGTAATCTTTTTGACAATGTTTCTGATTTGCTATGTCAATTAACACTAGCGTTTGGAGACTCTGATCATTTACTCAACTTGAGTTGGAATTTAAGACTCGAATTTGTCATCACTAACTGCCAGTGTGACTTAACAAATTGATTGACTCGGATTAGACTCCATTCTCTGATGACCTGTGAGCTGTGACTCTACTAGACTCAGAGTTTAGGAAGTAGGAACTATCCAACACTGATTCATACCACTGTGTTGAATTAGATTTCCACATTCTTTTTTATTGTTGAATCTTGTAATGCTTGATAATATTGCAGTGAGTTATATTTGTACAACATATATTAATACCTAATTTATGAATTTTCCTCTCAAGCTCTACATAAAAATATATATTGATGACTTTTCACCGAAATCATGATATAAATACAAATATTGCAATTAATCATTACATATATTAAATTCTTTGCACAGTTTATATTTACATATATATTAATTCCTATTTTGTGTTCGGATAAATTTTCCTATCAAGCCCTTTATCAGCTATTGATAATTTTGCACCGAAAACATAATAAAATACAAAGATTGCAATTTATAATTATAATTACATTTGTTTAATACTTTGCACAGTTTTCCTTCAAATCACAATACTTTGTATAATTATGTTTCATTTGTATATTATTCAGATGCATAGTTAACCTCTTAAATAATAGTATTTAGGAACTATATGTAATAAATTTTATGGTTTTGGAAACTATTCAAATGAATTCTGCTAGAGATAAGCATCGACAGCATATCATTCACCAGAATTCGATGGTCAATGAGAAGTAAATGGCCTGGAGACTTTGACTCAACACCTGTGTCATTTGTGAGTTCTATTTATAATGCTACCTCATCTCATGATTATTATATCGTCTGGTGACATTTTTTATGATTCATTTAGGGAAAAACCAACTTGTACATCATGACAGTTTGATTAGACTTCCTGGTTGAAAATGTGGCCAATTATTATATGAATATATTCTGAAATAATTTTTTCAAATTGAAATATTGGATATATTCTGAAATGGGTCTGTTCCACATGAAAATATTCACTCAGGCATTTGTGAATTTGTGGAAACTAAAAATTAGTTATGCAGAATTCTCTCAAGATAAACACTGTTTGAATTATTACTATTCTTCATTTCATAGCTTCCTAACTTTGTCTGGGTATAGGAAATCAAACGAATTTTCACTGAATTTATTCCAAACTGTTCCTAAAATCCAGAATTCATCATATTGAATCTATCCAATTTTGAATTTATTTGAATATTTTATTCAATTTGAACATCCCTGGATAAGGATCAGTAAAATGACAGAAATATCATAATTATTCAACATTACAGTTACCATAGTTATAAATTGCTTTTTAGCTTATTAATTTATCTATAACTGTTTATGAGGCAATTTGTTCAAAGTAATGTCATATGGTTTCATTCTGAAGAAAACGAGATGAGTCATCGCAGAGCAAGGTCACGGGTGGCCACTGAAATTCCAAGAACTCTGAAACTGAAACTATAGAAATATGGTAGTGCATAAATCAGTGAATTGACGCTAACAGAAACAGGTAGAAAGAAAATAATTCAATTCTGCTAAACGAATTTCAATTTACTGGCCAATTATCGAAGCTTGGGAATGATTGGTTTTTCAGTGGACCTTATGCGGAATCAAATTATCAGGCTTCATAAAAGTATGTTATCAATTTGATATGAATAATCTTTTTCTTTCACTTTCCTTGAATTTCTTTATGCTTAATAACACAATGTGTCTGTTTCTTTGTCTCTGTGATCACAGATTTTTATCTCCTTACCTTGTATATATATTGCAGTGGTCGGGAACCTTTTTGGGCAAGAAAGCCATAAAAGGTACATTTTTCCAATTGCATTTTTGTGCGAGCCATATAGCATTTCAGGCCAGAAATTTGATGACTTCTGATACAGCATGTTGTCGCTGCGGGCCTTCAACGGCTGCTCACATGCAGCACAAGTTGAAATCTAGGATACTCATCACCCTTCTTTCGTTTAGGCATCTCTGTAGTATTTCAAAAACTAGCTTTGCTAGTCCGATTTAAATATGACAAATAGCCTACTGTAACTAGTACGTACAAACGAACGAAAAGCTCTATTGCTCCACGACTATCGCCTTGTGACGTCACAAAATATGTTTCAGAATCCCCTAGTTTTGTCACAATGCTTGTCTGGTAATTATCTTAGATAACATAGACATGTGCTGGCGCGCGTTTTTAAACGTATTGGCAAATTTGGCTGTAAAACAGTGTGAAAACTCGTAACCTACCGTAATTTGTAATTTAATATTTTGAAAATGTCTGCAAACATGTATGCGCAACCTGTACAGCCTACAATATATAAACTGGAAATTATAGAATATCTGTAGGAATCATTTTCATCGTGGCACGCATTGTCTGCATTGTAATTTTCGCATCATCTTCCAATGTTGGAGATAGAGGATATGTAGCCGGGGATGCAATCCTTTTTTCCCCTTTCTCCTATACTCTCTGCAATCATTCATATACGAATCTGATAACATTTTGTTAATACCAGGGCACACTAGTGTTTGCCTATATTATTTTACTTCTACAGTAATCGGTAGGTACTAGGTTCGATACGATTTACAACGTATTGATATTCCCTTTAATCTGCTGTTGCTCGATTGGTCGAATCTATTGCAAAATAAAAAATGTTGGCCATTTTATATGCCCATGGTAAACATTTTGTAATTTGTAGTATTTTAATATTATTTTGTAACATAAAGTTCACTCTATCTATCTAACTATTGGTTCAAACTTTTAAAAAACGAATTTGTTTTTCTTAATTAACTATTCTAGTATAATTTTTTGCACCAGTTGTTCTGTAAAGTGGAGCAGATGCCATTTTTAAAATTGCATATATTTTTTCTGAATGCAAATTGTTTCATATTAATTGCGATTTCCAAGCTATTGAAAGCATTTCAATTCGTGCTTACTTAGGTTTAACAACTATAAAGTCAACAGATTGATCTACACAAAAATGTATTGTTATTAATTTATGGTTGAGACCGTTTGAAAAGTTATATTATTATTGCTTTGCCCCTATGACATGGCACATTCCCCTTTTTCATCATTGACTATTGCTTGTTTGTAAACTGAACATTTTTGAATTATAATATTAGGCACATTTGTTGTCTTACTCACAACTTGGTTTCATATTGACAATTTTTCTTATAATTTACTGATGTAGGATATTTAGGGTATTTGAATTAGTCATTTTGACAAACAACCTACTTTTATTCTAGACATCAAATGGCCTTATGTGTTTCAAAATATTTCTCCTATCCTTTCAACAATTGTTATGATATCAATGTTCACTTTAAGTACTTTCATATTCTTATTAATCATCCATTCTTGAATACAAGTCCCAAACAATGAACAGTGAACACAAACCTTTAAGTTGTGGTCTGTAGAATTGGGTACCTATTTGGGAATTTAATGTTTTGGCATCCTATTGCCTTAAATTCAAATCTTTTTTGTCAATTTCACATAGAATATGAGAAGATGTGAATGAACATCGTACCTAATTTGTCATATATATTGAGATGCTGAATCCAGTACCGGTGTTTTTCTGTTTTGTACTATTACAAAGATGCTATTAATTGCCAACATTTCAAAATTGATGAAAATGAATTAAATATGTGATAATGATATTTTAGTATTATTTCTTGTAACATTGTTTCTCATTTCTTTGTTTTATCACTATTGCTTTATTTACCTACTGTGTATATAGAGCATTAGACATAGTTTGCTTATCAACTTATTAGCAAAGATTGAATATAACCATGCTAGTAATAGGCAGTGATGCGTTGGAAACCAAGCAACAATACTGTCTACCATTTCGATGCTAACTGACATTGAAAGCAATGCTCACTGTACATCTGAATAATACCAGGGTCAAGAATTACCAAATAACACTCAGGTTTTCTGTGGAAATGCCAAAATTTTTCGATTTTCTGAAATGTTTTGGTCTAATGCTTTTTTTTAATATTTTTACATTTTATCATTCTAGTTAAAATATGTTTTACTAAGCTGAGTTGTAACCATAATAACAATTGAATATTAGAATTTAATGTTTCGAAAATATCTGCAAACATGTATGCACAAGTAGCACAACCTCTCATGATTCAACAACCTGTACAACCTCTTATGAATGCTCGAGCAGCTCGAAGAGAAAGAAACAAATCTGCATTATATAGACTGGGATTAACAGAATTAATTGTGGGAATTATTCTCATTTTGGCATGCATTGTTTGCGTTGTAATTGTGGCATCTTCCAGTTTTGGATTTCCATTTTTTTTTTTCATTGGAATATTGTGTGGTATTTTTCCTATTGTCAGTGGAATTCTCGGTGTCTTGTCCCGAAAAAATTCAACACAATGCTTATTTATTACAAACATGGTGATGGCAATTTTTACAGCAATCTTCATGACTATACTATTTAGCTTATCCATATTTTCAGTCTTCGCCATTAGAGGTGATATCTTCCTGACTTTATTGCAAGTGATTAATTGTATTGGCAGCTTGGCTCTTTTTGTAATAGCTATTGTTCATTCTGTATATTGCTGTTCTGGGAGTTGTTGTTATTCAAATTATGCACATCGTCAGTTATTTAATGGTCAGGTTGTTTTCAATCAAAACCAGCCATTTTTTAACCAACTCACTCAACATGCAGCACCAATAATATGGCAACCCCGAGTAGGCATTGTGCAACCAAGTACATCGAACCAGTATCCCCAAACTCAAAGGAATATGAACTTTACTCCTAAGCCAGAAACAGGGGGTGCTGAAAACCCAACATCATCTGATACTCCTGATTTTACTTCAAATCCTAATACCAGTGTGTGATTTATGATGCGTTGCAACTATATTCTTCTGAACATTCCCTCAATCGCTTTTTCCTATACTCTTTTTCAAATTATTCATTTACATATTTGACAACATTTGTTAATAACAGGGCATAAACATACGCTAGCGTTTGTCTATATTATTTTACTTCTACAGTAATCAGTTGGTACGATAGGATGTATTGCTATTACCTATTATTTGCTGTTGGTCAAATTTAATAAAAAAGATAAAAAATATTGGCCGTTTTTTATGTCCATGTTACAAATTTTGTAGTATTCTAATATTATTTTGTAACATATCCACTGTTTACTTTACTTAGTTTTGTCTATAAAGTTCACTCTTTTCTATCTAACTATTGGTACAAACTTTTAAAACTTGATGGTAGGATTTGTATTTTTTAAATTAAGTATTCTATTATATTATTTGCACTTATTGTTCTTTAAACTTAGAAGTTTCAATTTTTTAAATTGCATATATTTATTTTGAGTGTTTGTGTGGGAAAATTGTTTTAAAAAGTCGTTCCAATTTCTAAGCTATTGAAAGTGTTTAAATTTGTGTTTATTACTTGAGTTTAACAACTATAAAGTCAACATTGATCTACACAAAAATGTATTGCTCATGTTTGCCACCAGGTATATTCATGTTGAAGATAAATATATACTGGTTGTGTTTTATTTATTTTCGACACAAAACTGTATTGTTATATATTTATGATTGACGTCGTTTGAAATTTATATTATGATTTATTATATTATGACACATTCCTCTTTTTCATCATGAACTATTGCTTATTTGTAAAATACATTGGTTGTCTTCGACACGGTTTCATATTGTGAAATTTCTTGTGATACATTGTGCTCATTTACTTATATTGACAAACAAACAAGTACTTTTATTCTAGACATCAAACGGCCTTAAATGTGTATCAAATATTTTTCCTATTGTTTTAAGGATCGTTATCATTGTTCACTTCATGTACTTTCATATTCGTAATAATCAGCAATTCCTGAATGCTTTCATTCCAACAGATGGAAACAATGAACACAAACTTGTGTTGTGAAAATGAGAATTCATTACTTTGCCCTCCTATTCTAGTCATTGCCTTAAATATCTTTGCTCAGATATACAATTATTTTTGTCAATTTTTACATAGAATATGAGGATATGTAAATAAACATTGTACCTAATGTGTCATATATATTGAGATGTTGAAGCCAGTTCCAGTGTTTTTGTTGTGTGCTTGTTTCACTAGTCAAGGATGTTATTACTTGCCAAAATTTTTAAAATTGATTGTTGGGTAAATGAAATATGTGATAATAATATTTTTGTATTGTTTCTTGTAACATTGTGACTCATTTCTTTGTTAATCACATATTGCTTCATTTATATACTAACATTAGAAATAGTTTTCTTCTCAATTTGTTAGCGAAGATTGAATATAACCATTCCAGTTACAGGCACTGATATGTTGAAAACCAAACTACAATACTGTCTACCATTTCGGTGCTAGTTGACATCAAATACAATGCATACTTTATATCTGAACAATACCAGGATAAGAATTGCCAAATAGCAGTCAGTTTTTTTGCTGAGATGCCACTATTTTGCTAAATTTTGCCTTATGACTAAAGAGAACTGTAATTTTTCTTATTAAATTTTATATTTTTATTGCATAAAATTTCTTTTCCCTTCTCAAATAAATTTATTAAATGTTGATTTTATAATGATGGCTGGATTATATTTTTGAGTGTGTTATCAGATTCAATTTGATCATTTATATTGTTACTACATTCCGTATATACAAAATATACGGAATTTTGCATGGTGACCAGAGTGAACTGTGTTTTTTATTTATAGTTGAATTTTGTATTTTTGTTGCATACAAGTTTTTCCCCCGCTTAATTAGGTTCCAAAAAGACTGATTTTTTGATGATGACCAATCTACAATTTTGAGTATCTTATTAGATTCAATTCAATTAAAGAAAAGTTTTTCTTATTTTTGACAATATCAAAAAACTTCCACTTTTATTTAAGGGGACTCAATGTTTTTATGAGTGTGATATATTTAATATGGCATTGTTGGGTTTAATCAAGATTGGGTTGATATATTCATGTCCAATAATTACATGGCAGAAATGTTATGCTCAGAAAATTTCAAGTTCAAACTTTATAGTTTTTCCCTCCTATCACCATTGCAAAGTTAACAATGCTATGGTTCACATCACAGTGTTAATATAACACTCATAACACTAATATAACCAACTTCCGTATTCTGACCTAATGCCTTTTCTTAATATTTTACATTCCATCATTCCAGTTAAACTTATGTTTTACTTAGCTGAGTTGTAACCATAATAAGAAATAAAATATTGGAATTTAATGTTTTGAAAATGTCTGGGAACATGTATGCACAACATATTATGGTTCAACAACCTGTACAACCTCTCATGGATGCTCGAGCAGCTCGAAGAGAAAGAAACAAATTCACATTATATAAACTGGGAATCACAGAAATAGTTGCAGGGATTATTTTCATCTTTGTGTGCATTATCAGCATGGCAGTTTCACCATATTATGCTGGAAGATATACCACTGGTGTAATCTTCGTTTCTCCTGGGATATGGTGTGGTATCTTTCCTATCATCAGTGGAATTTCCGGTGTCTTGTCAAGAAAAAATCCAACTCAATGCCTATTTATTGCAAACATGGTGATGGCAATTTTTACAGCAATTTTCATGGCTATACTATTCAGCTTATCCGTAATTTCAGCCCTTATCGTTGGTGGCTATTTCTTCCTGGCTGCATTGCAAGCAATTAATTGTGTTGGCAGCTTTGCTATTCTCGTAATAGCTATCATTCATTCTGCATATTGCTGCTCTGGGAGTTGTTGTTACTCACCTTCACAGCAACTTTCTTCAGGCTCAAATTATGCACATGGTCAACAGTTTATTCAATTACCTAACGGTCAGTTCGCTCTTGTTCAAAATCAGCCATTTGTTAATAACCAACCTGCTCTACACGCAGCGCCTACATGGCAACCCCAGGTAGGCATCGTGCAGCCAAGTACATCGAACCAGTATCCCCAAACTCAAATGAATATGAACTTCACTCCTAAGCCAGAAACAGGAGCTGCTGAAAACCCACCATCATATGATACTCATGGTTTTGCTACAAATCCTAATTATATGTGATTCGATTGCTAGTATATACCGGTGGCTATATTCTCCTGAATTCACTTTGCATTTACATTTTGTCTTATAACTTGGCATGTATAAATAGTAGTATTTGCCTATATTATTATAAGTTAGTACAAAATCACATATTGCTATTTTCCATGTTCTATTATTGCTTTATTGATGAAAATATAATGAAGAATAATGTTGCCTTTTTTTATTGGCCAAATGTTGGAAATTTTCTTTCTCGTAGCATTTGAATATTAATTTGTAACTTATCCACTGCTTGCCCCATGCTTATTTGTGTCCAAAAAGTTCACTCTTATCTATGTAATTATTGATAAGTATAAAATTTTAATAGTTAACGGACCAATTTATGTCTTCAATAGATGTATTCTAGGTATATTATTTGTACTTTTAGCAGTTTTAATTTTTAAAATTGTTATGTATTATTTTATATGTTAGTGTCTGAATGATGTTACAAAAGCTATTGCAATTTCTAAGCTGTTCTAAGTATTTAAAGATTTGTGGTTACTTGGGTTTATTACTTATGCACATGCTCTTTCGTGTATTGATCTACACAAAATATATTGCTAATGCCATGTATATACAACTGAGACTGTTTGAAAAACTTATATTATTATTGCCTTTCCCCCATGATGTGACACATTCCCTTTTCAAGAAGATCATATAGTATGGCTCGTTTGTAAATTTACATATCTTTATGCTTGATTTATAATATTTTGAAGAACATTAGTTGTCTTACCTTAACTGTTTTGTTATAATTCACTGATGTAAGTTATCATAAAAGTAATCAGGCCATGTCTATGCACTCGAAATGATAAACTGATAAATTGAACTACGGTATTTCTAAAATTTATGTGGATTGTCAATCAGAGGAAAGACGGGGATTCGCGATCTCACAACTTTTGTGTTTTGATTTGATACAATCATTCTCAAACAATGGGGCCAGCCCCACAAGGGGGGTGCAGACAATTTTTTGAGGGGGCGTGAAGTGAAGCCAATCGAAAATAAAAATATTTGTTAGATTTGATCTTACCCGCCTTTTTTTTGAATATTTACTAAAGATTGCGATTCCATCCATGTATTTTCAACATGTTTTTTGAATAAAACATACTTTCACTTTACTATCTGTTATTTGTAGCTTAGAGTTAGCTAGCTATTTTTGAAGTTGGGCGCTAGACTTATTAATAATTTCTAGCGGATTAAAAAGTTTGAGAACCACCGATCTAATGCTTTTTATGAATATTTTTAGATTTTATCATTCAAGTTAACTACTTAACTAAGTACTGGAATTCGTTATTTTGAAAATGTCTACGAACATGTATGCACAACCTATTATGGTTCAACAACCTCTCATGGATGCTCGAGCAGCTCGAAGAGAAAGGAACAAATCCACATTATATAAACTGGGAATCACAGAAATTGTTGCAGGGATTATTTTCTATTCGTCATGCATTGCCAGCATTTCAATATCATCTGATGCTGGAAGATATACTTCCAATATAATCTTAATTTATCCTGGAATATGGTGTGGTGTCTTCCCTATCATCAGTGGAATTCTCGGCATTTTGTCCCGGAAAAATCCAACAGAATGCTTATTTATTGCAAACATGGTGATGGCAATTTTTACAGCAATTTTCATGGCTATACTCTTCAGCTTATCCGTAATTTCAGCCCTTATCGTTGCTAGCTATTTTTTTCTGACTGCATTGCAAGCACTTAATTGTATTGGCAGCTTTGCTATTCTCGTAATAGCTATCATTCATTCTGCATATTGCTGCTCTGGGAGTTGCTGTTACTCGCCTTCGCAACAATTACCTTCAGGCTCAAATTATGCTCATGGTCAACGATTTATTCAATTACCTAATGGTCAGTTCGTTCTCGTTCAAAATCAGCCATTTGTTAATAACCAACCTGCTCTACATGCAGCACCTCTATGGCAACCCCATGTAGGCATCGTGCAACCAAGTACATCGAACCAGTATCCCCAAACTCAAATGAATATGAACTTCACTCCTAAGCCAGAAACAGGAGCTGCTGAAGCTCCACCATTATATGATAATCATGGTTTTGCTGCAAATCCTAATTATATGTGATTCGATTGCTAGTATATAGCTATATTCTTCCGAATATTCATTTAATCGCTTCGTCTTATGCTCTTTCCCCACTTTGCATTTTCATTTTGCTCATACCATGGCGTGTATAAACAGTAGTATTTGCCTATATCATTCCACTGCTACGATCATGAGTTTGTACAATATGATATATTGCTATTCACTGAGGTATATTGCTCGATTGATGAAATGTAATGAAAATAATGTTGCCTTATTTTATTGGCCAAATGTTGGAAATTTTCCTTGTCGTAGTATTTGAATATTATTTTCTACCTTATTCACTGCTTGTCTCATGCTTATTTTTGTCCATATAGTTCACTCTCATCTATGTAATTATTGATAAGTGCAAAATTTGAATAGTTAACAGACCAATTTATTTCTTTAAATGGAGTATTCTAGGTGTAGCTATTATTCGTACGTTTAGCAGTTTCAATTTTTAAAATTGTAATGTATTATTTTATATGTTAGACTTGTTAGTGTCTAAAAGATATTTTAAAAGCTATTGCAATTTCTAAGCTGTTCTAAGTATTTAAAGATTTGGGTTACTTGGTCATTTTTATGCACATGCACAAAAAATATTGCCAATGCTATGTGTATACAACTGAGACTGTTTAAAAAAATTATATTTTTAATGCCTTTCCCCTGTGATATGACACATTCCTTTTTCTAGGAGATCATATGTATCGCTTGTTTGTAAATTTACATATGCTTGGTTTATAATAATATCAACCACATTAGTTGTCTTATTTCAATTAACTGTTTTTCTTATAATTCACTAATGTACGGTATCATAGAAGCAGTCACTTCAGCATATATACCATTATTCTGAACATTAAGCAGTTTAATTTGTGGATTGTGGTTTTCGAAATTTTCCTCCCATTTTTCAAAAATTGCTATGATAGATACCATCATTGTTCACTGCATGTACTTTCATATTTCCCAACAAGTGGCAAACGATAATACATATCATTCTTGAATAGTTTCAATGCTTATTGCAATATTTTTCAGCATCGTCATTGGATTAAATCTTTATGCTTAGATAAACAGGTATTATTGGGGTTTTACATAAATTTAAAGATATACAAATGAAGATTGTATCTAATACGTCATTTATATACAAGGGTGTTCTTAAAGTCTCAAATTTTTTTTAATTGCAGAGGGGATTCTGGATACCATATAGCGTTTGTTGCGCCCTAGGTGTGTATTGAATGAAGTAAAAAACATAGACACTGATTAAAATGAAAACATTTGGGTCCAAGATATATTGAGAACTTCTTCACTTCATCAGAAAATTGTAATTGTGACGAGACTTTACACACCCTGTATATTGAAATACTAAAAGGTTTTAGTCTTGTGTGTTTTTTTTACTGACCAATGGATGGCCCTGCTATTGCCTGTCACCATTTTCAAATCCAATAGTTGGTTTGATCAAGTTTGTGATATTGATATTTTTGTATCATTTCTTATGATGACATATTGCTTCATGTATCTACAATGTACAACATTACAAATAGTTTTGTTTCGCAATTTGTTGGCAATGATGATTGATAGAACTAGGGGTTTCAAAATCGGAAATTCCCATTCCCGTCTGAAACAGTCGCTTCGATTACGTGCTCGTTAAAATAGCCGACTTTTTCAGTGTATAATGACTTTACTGTGGCGTAAAACATTCCATTCATGACAACTACGAGAATCGACAATAAAAAAAATACATATCTATCGTCTCGAAATCCCAGCGGAACGGCTTCTAAAACAGTGCCGCGATTACGCCACTTGTCGAAAAAGCCCAATTATTTAACAGATAAAGAATTTTCTGTTGTGCAAAGTAATCAATCCATGACCGATAGGGTATATTTAAAATTATTATTTAAATTGTCTTTGATTAAAAATGCGGTTGCGTCGACAAAATAAAGGCATTACTACTCTAAAATACCACGGCAATCCGCGGACATAAAAATGTGTGGTAAACTACCCGATTATATCTTGTTTTGATCCGTATTTTTGCCGTTTTTCGAATTCGACTTGCTGTACTTGCAACACTGACTTCGCTCTATCGAAATGCTGCCACTTGGATTATTTTTAAGATAAAACCGTTAGAAAAATCCTCAAGTCTGCTAGTAAATTTCACCGAGAAAATTTTGTTTCAGTACAATAAAAATTGATTAAATACACTTTAGTTTAGATTAATTCACGTATATACCATCACAACCCGAGAATAAATCGCGTTCCCAACCTTGTATAATGTTAACATGAAAATTTTCGACGGCAATTTGAGGTAATGGATAAAAAGGTAAATCCCGCACACAATTGACTGTGTTTCGATCTCAGTGACCGTAGGGTTCTCAATTCCGAGCAAATATAATGTGTGGCTTAGGCCCACGTAATTTTGCGATTTATTAAGCTTAGAGAGGCGTATTTAATTCATCGCGGACCTCTTACAGCAAAACTTATATTGTTTACGGTTTCATTTTTAGAATATTGTATTAGTATATTGCCGTTTTTCAATCTAAAATTGGGGCGCGTACTCCTTTATTTTGTCTTTAGCATCTCACCGCCGATGAATGAAGTTCAGAGATGTATCGGGTATCGACCATTTTTTCTGTATCGGCAATATATCGGGATCGGTTAAATATAGACCGATACATTTAGCTTTTTACTCTGATCCAGAATATTTTAAAAATTAAGTTAGAATACGGATGTTGAAATTATTTTATATATCATCGTTATCGTGGCACAAATTTGGGGAGAATAATGAATAAACCTCAACGCAAACGTGTAATTAGTAGTGATATGCTGATAACCATACTTTGTATTATGTGCCATTTCGGTGTAAGCTAACATGAAATGTTGTGCATCCTGAATGATACTACGATGCAGGTGCAGAAGGTCAGTATTACCAATTGCCCCCTTTTTTGCTGAAATATCACATTTTTTTGAACTTTTTGTGCCGATTAAAGAAAGGGCTGTTTTTATCCAAAAATGGTGGAATTGGCAGTGGCCAATTAAATCCCTTGAATACTGGTTTTATAATGATTGCTAGGCAACAGTTCCAATACAGTATGTGATTATGTTTAATAACTGCGTTATTGATTTTCTCCATTAATGTCCATCGCATTGATATATGTATCGATTTGAACATATTTTCAGCTGAGGCAATTGTGTTCCTTTTCTGAAATGTAACAACATTAAAAAACTTCCCCTTTTAAAATTTATTGTTTCATATGTGTAATTTTAAGGCAGAATTGGTTACCAAAATATATCAATGCTACAAGCCCATGGTGGATGGAACGACACTCTAAGGAAATACATTTTTTTAATGTATATGCACACACCCATGTATGTTCATTCAAACTTGATGTAAGATTACAATTGACCTCTTCTATGCTTCTTAAAAATGACATCATTCGGTTGCTGGGTTCACTGACTACAGGGCTTACTTGTTTAATTATTTTTAGGATTAGTGAAGGTCGTTTTTAAGCAACTGATTATTATAGCTGTTACGTTCTGATTCTATTGCAAAGCGCATGATGTTATGATTCATGGCATTAAAGCCTGAGTATGATTACGATGCGTTTTGAAATTGGCTACTAAGGTAATTTGATTCTATATCTATATGATCTGACTCAGCGTTAGCTTATGTAACATGTTCAATTTATTTATCTAATCTTAACAAAGTTAAATATAGTCTAAAACCCAGAGTTATCAATAAGGTGCAAGAAATGAGAAATATAAATTTCACTAAAGTTTGCATATTTTCAAGATTTTACTATTATATAGTAAATAGGTCATTTTCACAATCTATAATATGTCATGTATTCACTTGAGTTCTACATTGATATTATTGCAAGTCTCATGTCAATATATCAAACATGAACGCGTACCAGTTTGATATTTTGTATACATCATCTTGCTTGTGGTGTGCAGTTCCACTTATTGTCTGTGGAATGGGCATTTGCTGTGAGATTAAATTCTGGCGTTTGTACCGTAGATTTGTACCTTGCGTTTGTACAGTGGATAACTTCGATGAGGAAGTAAGTCTGCCGAGAGATTGTTAGATATCGTTGGCCCATTTGTCTAGCCTTGTTCGGTGCACGAGTCAGCGTCGTATTACGTCATTAACAAAACATTACCCAATGGATACGATCTTGTCGTATTATCGGTTTTATTGCCTCTAATTTGTAACATTAATGCAATACGTCGTTGACTCATTGTGTTGGAATCTGTTTCACACAACATTGTCATAACTATAGGGTTGGGACCCCGGAAAATCCCGGGATTTGGACTGTTTTTTTAATCCCGATCTCGCCATTGTTTCCTAAAAATCCCGGGATTTTAAGGCTGTGTCATCCGCATATTGATATTCGCACAAATGGCAAGTTATGCCATTTTATTTAATACTTATTTTGAAAAAAGCCATCCACGCTTACAGTATGAGTCAGTCAGACTAAGTGGAATTGATGTGCGAAATTTTTCTCAAATTTTACCAAGGAATTATTATTTGACAGGTAGAATTGCCATTATTGCCGACTTATTTATTCATCATTTGAACTCAAAATAGCATTCGGGATTCACGCAATGACTTTGCAGGGTTTTAATTCACTATTTAATACGAAAATAAAACAGCCACGATAGAAAAGTAAAATCAAGAAGATCAACTATCGTCTTCCTAAATATCCGCGTTCCGGCGTTAGAAATGATAATGTTTTTAGCTTAAAATTGAGACAATTAATTTACAAACGGTGACAAGAAAAATCAGAGCCGATCCAAAAGATAAAAATCGGAATGGAATCCAGAAACTCTACCCGGTATTTGACAATTCGTTAAAATTATTCGATTAGATGAAAATCTACTTTTTGCCCACCTTTGCGTTCTATAATCACGCCAGTAATCTGACGAAACGCGTGGTAGTCCAAACACTGATGCAATGAAACTTAATAAAACCTTCATAAATTTAGTAAATTGCACTACTTCACGAAAGCGTGGTGGATTGACGAATATTTCATATCTCGAACACAAAAACAGGTATCTTTTTGGATAGTTTCTGCGGTCTGAAAAATCGAATAGGCGTTTCGACATAGTAAATGCTATGATATTTGTCATCAAATTATTCTCGACACAGAACATATATTTCTTTCATTTCTCCATTCTGTTGAACATAACACCAAAAAATCCGTACGATATATTATCGAGTGCATAGAAACAGTGAAACGCCCAAAATATTTACCGTTGTGAAACGTCCCGTCCTCGTTGTCTGGGCATTTTTTGAATACCTGATGACCTCAGAATCGAATACAATTTTCGAACCGAATCTCGAATTCTTGGAGGATATGCGACCCTTTTATTGCAATGGATCCTCCATTCACATAAATTACTGAAAACACAGAATCCATCACTCGAACAGTATGCTGATCGTTCACACACAATAAAAGCATGTTCCATCAATACCTCACTAGGAAGATAAGAGTCATATGTCAACATTTAATTTTAAAATACGGCTTCAATAAAAAAAATTGAAGAATTCACCTCGGGCTCTGGCGGACAAAAAACAAGATGGCGGCAATTAGAAACTTTCGTTTAATTAAACGGATTCGAAAGTATTTACTATTCGGTTCGAATATTCGATTTGAAATGCCCAGCCCTAGTTCTGTACTCAACAAATTAGTATGTTTTCCTGTATGTTGAATTGTCGGGTCACCGAACGAAACATGGTGAGCCATTCTCTGACGCGCAGATATAGCCAGTAGTGGGATTCATCCGGTTCGCACCGGTTCTATAGAACCGTCTCATGGAATTTGATGAGATCAGCGAACCATATAGCATTACTGAAAAAAACATGACTTTTTGTAACAGAACCGGCTGAAAAATATGACATTTGTATGGATGGAACCGGCTGACAAAAAATTTGAATCCCACCACTGGATATAGCCAATATAATATTATGTTTTGGCGTTGTGCTGTATGAAGGCAGATGGAAGCGGTCCAGTCCTTAGCTTGATCTCTATCTGCCTTCACCCGATACTAACGCCCAACAACGAATACAAAGATACCAGAATTCACTAGCACGCGATTGATATATTATTGCCAACTTGATCGCCACAATTCTACAGTATCTTATGAATATATATATATATACTGTTCCTTTCTGTCTTAACTCTTCCTCCTTTTTTTGCAATACAAACCGTGACGTGCTTTTATATAATAAATTGGGTCCCTAAGTTATGTACTATCAAGCACGGCAGGAGATCTAACCTTGATTGTCCGATCAAAACAATATGTTTGTGCGAACAGCTAATAGTTAGAAAATGGATTGTCATGATCTACTTTTTTTTCCCAATTCAAAGAACTGAGCTAAACCCGATTTACAAATTTTTACCGAATCACCGAAATTCAATCAATTTGATATGATTGTGCTTACACGATACAATGGTTCATAGTTATCCCGGAATTGACAAAATACCGCAGTCAAGCTGGTTTTATTGCTTTGAATGAGGGGAACAATGTCTCATATTTATTTGTGAATTGTTCCAAAATTTATCGGTGGTAGGCGACTAGGTCTCTCAATTGGAGCTATCGGGTTTCCAACCAGCCCCAGATCTGCAGGCAATTCAATGTGATGTGGTTCGCTTCTTGGAATTGGTTCAAGAATAGTTGTATTTGATTTCTGTGAAAAATTTGTACGGGGAAATGACAGTTCTTCGGGTTTGATCGTTTTTAATTCGGATTCATCGATGTGTGAATGTGAATCTTTGCGAGTGCTGATAAGAGTCTTCTCATTTTGCGCGGGAACTTCCATCGGGAATACTCTGGTCGCTCTTGAAAAGATACTCCGAGACTGTGATGTTCGCTCATCTATCACGCATATTGCATCACTTTCCTCCTGTAATTGTAGAGGCTGATTTGTTGATTCGTTTGTACATGATTGCTCAATATCCTCGGACAGCTCAGATATTAAACTAGAAGTCTTCAAGATAGTGCCAACCTCTATCGATGAGATGGATGAATTCGTTGGTGAAGTTAGTAAATTTGAAACTGGAGTCTGTGAACTGTCGAATTCGGAAATGGACACGTTACGCCTGGGTGAAAGAGAATATACATTAGTCTTGACATTGGAATTCTGTGACAACGACAATTCCATGAAATTATATGAAGCTCGGAGAAAGCGACCAGCATTTTTAAAAGTTGCAGTTCGTGCAGTACTTAACATTTACGTCTTTGTTATGATGGCTTGCAATAGGCATATTATAGTAGTCATAATAGTACAAGTATATATAATGGGATATGCACGTATAATCTGTCGGGGAAAATAAAAGTTTATGTTTCAAAAAGGATCTCGAATAGGTGGATGAAATGGCGATAAAACAATATTCCGATCGCTTGCGATTGAAAATCCTAACTAAATTCTCGCACTTCGTCGCTTTGCGTGCATGTGCTTCACTGGGCATTTACAAAGTTCGGTGGCTTCTAAAGTTCTGCAGCACTCCGTCTCAAACTACCGATAGCTGTCTGAATTCCCTAAAACGCCGTTGTATGATGCTAAAAATGTGGACTGCACAAAAATGCGTCAGTGTTACAATTAAAAAAACATGGGATATATATATATTATATGTATATATATGCAGTAACGACAAGATGGGATCTCTTTTGTATTGCACTCAATAACAACAGGTTCGCTCTTTTAAAAATGCATGTCTGTTATTACGTAAGCTACATTGACATGACACGGTTTACTTAAATCTAACAAATAACTGCAAAATTGAACTTTGTTACTTACTTTAGCAAAGATTCTTCAATATTTTCCTTGGTAGAAGATTCCTCCAGAAAACAAATACATTCGTCCATAACTTCAATCTGGCATGCCATCCACATGATGAAGAATCCAATTGAAAATAATAGCGATATTATTCCAGAGTAAACCAAGATATCCAATTCGTTGCTGAATTCTAAGCTTCCGGAAACAATGAGGCCTGTACCGATTCCAACTAAAACAGTAAATATAAATAAGAGAAAGCGGTATCTGCCATAGCTTTTGATTGCTGTCACTCTATTATATCCCATCTCATGATGGAGCAGAGTAGCCTGCTACGTACAGAAACATTCTTGAAGACAACATATCCTACTACAGAAAACTCACTTTAATCTGCATTTATTATTCATTTTACGTTCCGTTGAATATTTACGTATCCTGTTGTGGTACTCCAGTTAGCCTCGTGCAGCTATGTACGCATAGTTTTCGGCCGATAAATAATTAATTTTTAAACTCTTATTGATGCATTGTTCGGAACAGAGGAACACAACAAAACTTAGTTCGATTACATTCACAGGCATATCGTAAAGAATGAGTCACAACTTATTGCCTAATATATTTATGCTATATAATATATATAACTAATCGGTTAAAAAGTTTTATTCGGAATACTTAAGTAATTTATTTTTAATAAGCTTTTCTATTGGAATCCAAAATTGTAATAGTTTGGGCTAAAACCCAGATACATACGAGAAACACGAGTGCAATTTGATGAAAGTCGACTTTTTTAATTAATTGAATGTTAAAACATTCGGATCAATCAAAACAAAAACTTACGGCAGCACATTCAGTTGTTGTCAACTGGTTTATGCCATGACAGCAAAAAATGGCTGTAGCAAATTGGTACAATAACGTGGCTTAGTGTGTGCAATTAATTTTACTAGTGTTTTTTCATCACATTTGAGTGACATATTTTCTGAAGTTCAGCACGAAATGCTATTTAGCAAAGTGCTTTATATTTCTTATACTAATAATAAAAAAGTTTCGAAAAATGATTGATTGAACATTTCAAAAATTTAGAGACTATGCAATATGTATAAAAAATATCAAAATTACTAATAGGGAATAAATCTAGACGAGATTTCACATCGATTAGATTTTTGCAGTGGTCTCGGTCTATTGAAGTAAAAATCTTACTCACCTTTATTATGTTACTGATATAATCCCCGGTTTCCCCGTCATTATCCTCAAGATCAATTTCTCGTATCCAAATCACGAGAAGAATTATTTTTGTTTCATATTGTTGCGTCACCATGCATTCATTGTGGCACTCGTGAAATTCCACGTAAAACAGACGATAGTATCTTCTTTAGAAATATATCGTAGAGGAGTTAGGTGAATTGGCATCTTAGTTGATATAATCTTGCGCTTTTACGCAAAACTCGAAAAGGTATACGTATCAATAAAATGGAGTTATGTTGTAGATGTAGACTACTGTTAATATTATTTTTATGATGATAGGAAACCGATTTATATGATTAGGAATGACAGCATTTTGGGAAGCGCGATCGTATTTTAGCTCGAAACCGTTACGTCCAACTATAACTGAAACTTGACGAAAATCACTGTTTCCGATCTAAAAGAGGTTTGGTTGAATTATAAAGACATAATGAAGTTTTGGCAGACAATTTTGAATGTAGCAGTCACTATTGGAGATATACCAAGAATTCGATTCAATATCGTAATCTCACAAATAGGATATGAAAGATCGTCCTATGTTGCATTGTGGGAATTGAAAAAATTTCGTTTGTGTGGTATCTCTCTTTTATACTCTCTCGCGTTCACGAAACGTGTTTACTTTCAATTAATGCTTTTAGAGGGTATTCAAAAACCGATTTTTTTTTTATAACACTCACGTTTTAGACACATTCACTAATACACAGTCATGCACGGAAAAAATTAATTATTTGGCAGAAGATTATGAAAAATATTAATGAATGAGCTAAAATAAATTACGCTGATATTAAAAAAACAAAATTAAATGTTGAAACTAGAGATGAAAGTATCAATACAAATTATAATAAACATATATGCTAAACTCTATGCAACTTAAAGACTTTGACCCTTTTGCACATATGTTCTCGTCGCGAATAGAGCATTTCGAATCGAATAGTAAATTATTCGAATCGGTTCAGAGCTAAATTTCGAATCGCCGCCATCTTGTTTTCTTCTTTTCGCCAATGGTCGAGGTGAATTCCCCAATTTTCTTTTCGTTAAAGTCATATTTTTTCAACGCAATTCTAACATATGACTATTTTCTGTAGTGAGTTATTGATAAAACGTGTTTGTTATTGTGTGTGAACGCTTAGTAATCCATCTGAGTGATGTATTCTATGTCTTCAGTAATTCATTTGTTATGGACCAATTACTATAAAAAAGTCGCTTACAATAATGTATTTCCAAGTATTCGATTCGATTCGAAAAAATTATTCGATTCGATTCTGAAATCACAAGGTATTCAAAAATGTCCAGCCCTAGTCGTGAATTAAAATAAAACAGCATTTTTTGGTTAACTTACTTCAGTACTTTGTCCCGTAGACCTCCCTCTAAAAATAATGTAAATATTCGATTTCTTTTATGTTCGAGCACTGAAAATCGATTTGTTTCACAACAACAAAACCTTGAAATGAACAAAAATAATTTTGCGAAGCTATCCGCAAGTTCACTACATGTCCATCAATTACTTTATTCGATAAATGGAGCAACCGTCAATCTTAATTGGTGAGTGTCAAATGTTCGATTATCTTGGAGGTTTGTCATTTGATCCGCTTGGAATACAACCCTGGTACGTGGCCCAATAGGTGCATATAGGCTATTCTTCATTGTGGTTGAGATTATATTATTTTGACCTAATCCGCTGATAAACACAAACGTTTATTAACTACTCACTTCCTGGACGCTTCCTACTAAAGTTTTGTCTATGAAATTGAATCGCGGTAATAGGACAAGCTGTAAAAACAAGACAAGTGATTCGACTGTTGTCGCATCACATATTGCCGTTGTCGCACCGCTCACGCAATTGCCTTGAGTTAGCAGGGGAAATTATGTGTGAGAAAGATTTTCCGCCGTCGCTTGGTTGTTATGTTACTGCTCTGCTAAAGTCTATGCATACAGAATAATTATTAGATGGAGTTCCTCAAGGATCTTCACTTGGCCCATTTTTTTTCTAGCTCACATAAATGCCTAGATGTTTGAACCCCTGTGGGACGATTATGTTTGCTGATGACACTGATTTGATTCTCTTCGGTAAAAAAGTCCAATTTTGTATTACTCCATTCAAGCAAACATAAAATGCAAAACTTTTACTGCTCAATGACCAAGAAATTGAAAGAGTGAGTGAAATGGTATATCGCCACGCTCATAACCGAATTGCGTAAGTCATTTGTAGCAGTTTTGAGAAAAACGTAAAAAACTTCCTAATGATATTGTTATGCCATTGAGAGTCAATAATTTGCCATGGTTCGATTTTTTGATCGTAGCCGGATTTGAGTTAATTTGTATGACGCAGTTATGTGACGTCATAATGGCGCTCTCTGACTTAGGCAGAAATGTGTCTATGATTTGATGACATACGCAATTTTGCAACCAGACTATATGCACCAGTCCTGAAAACGGTATGTTAGTCGTTGCTGAAAACCAAACACTCCAAAAACGAATGTAATTCTCAGTATCTACGGTGTCTAATCCCCAAAATAGCTAATCGGTTTCAATTACATTATTTTTTATGTTTCAAAATATATATTTCATCAATATAACACGCTCTGCACAGCCACCCAATAGACCTTATTCATTAAAAACCCATTCTACGCGCAAAAAGAAAAGTGATGTAAAATTTTTTTTTTAACATTAGCTCTTATGGGGGAATGTGATCACCAGAGCAGGAATTTGCATTTTTTGTAATTTTCTAGATATCTTTCATTGTATACGTGAGCAGTTTTGAGGATAGAATATTTTTTACATCTTTTTTGATATTTTTATCATGATAAACATGGTCAAGATTTTTGATAATCGTTCATTAAAATTTTAATGAGCGCGGTGTTTCCGATGACGTCATTCTCACTAGACCATGAGATTCTGCAAACGCGCCGTGCTCTGTGGGATATGAGCAGATGCGCTGCAAATGCGGCGCTAATGTCGCTTTGGGCACGGTACCGGTACTGGAAGCGTTTAACATTGACAATCTATAACCCATACCATTTCTATCACGTTTGTTTACTGGTTTTACGCATTTATACCTGTACAGCTAGCAATCATTTACTGAATGCATGCTGACGTGTTATTTAAACTACCGGTACCGTACCAAGGCTGCAAGAGGTGAAAACTAAATTATTTAGTTAATACTGAAATAGGCGTACGAACAAAAATGTTGGTCATCCTGCCAATAGGCAGGATAAATTGTACGGTACCGGTATACAAAAAATATGAATATCTCCAACCTATAATGGTACAATACCGGTCTCCTTACTAGGTTAAAAAACATGACTGAATACGAGCGGGAGATTTATTTTGTCAACCAGAATACAAGCATTGAATCAATAAAAATTATATACAAAACACACAGTTATTCGGTATAGACTGGGGAGCGATACGACCCTCACAGTCAGTTTCCCCCTGCCCCCCATGTTCGCTATCAAGATTAACAGATAATTAAGATGTTTGAACAATTTCACGAAAACTCCTTGGAGCAAGGGTTGACTAAGTTACGGAATATTTTTGGATTCGCTTAATTAAAAATGTAGTTCATTATTAAACCACTGCTTTTTTTTTTAGATTTTCACTAAGTGGACACTTAGCAAGTACGACAGTTAGTTTATAAAAAAAAATTGTAAATTAATAACAAATCAGTAGAAGTCAGCTCGGGTATTCAAACATGTGATGATTGAAGTGAGGAAAAAATTTGAAGTCACGTTTAGGATATTACATTAAACAACAATGGAAAAGGTACATTGGAATTAGTCAAGCTTCAAATGCTAATGGCATTAATGAAAAGAATATGCGAAATGAAGACTGAAGTTTCCATCTGAGACATTGGAAGACGCTGAAACCTTATAGACTTGATAGTTTGGAAAGCCTTCTCACAATGCAGTAATAATGGGACAAACATTTATATTGTCATTATACAGGCTTTCAGTTGAACCATATGTTTAATTATAATATCTATCTTTGCTAATAAATGCTGAAAACCATTTATTTCAATCTGATGAGTGATTGGGGCCAGAAATTTGCTGTAGGGACCATCACCAGGGCTGGATTTACCGATAGGATAGGCAGGCTGAAACCTAGAGCCTCGAAATTCGGTTTCGAAGTTTGTAATTCTTTTGAAAACTTGACAAGTTTGAACCCTACGAAAAGTATATATATATATCAAGATTTTCAGAGTAGAAAATTCTGTAGACAACTGGTTTCAACCAACGGCCGGCAACCAACTTGCCTAATGTTAAACAAGTTCATGGACGCCATCTTGTGCCATATTTGGGAAACGCGAAACAATGCAGTCTTATGGGAAATTTTCGTCGTGTTGTTGTACCGAATCGAATAAGTCCGCTGTTATAAGGGCTAGAATGAAACCGAAGGGTGGATTTTGAACTTTAAGATATATGCTATCTAAATATATAACGCAATTAGGAATAAAAAACTATCTAATGCGTTAAATTTGACTACGAACACAGCGTAGAACCATTTTTGGTCATTTTTTCAAAGATTTTATACTGATACGCCAATTTGAGGCTGTAAAATGCCTCCGCAACAATCCTACAATGTCATTTGTTCTTCTAGCGCAGCTTGGAGCTGAGCAGTAGGGCATTATGGAGCTTGACAGACGAAAAATGTTAACCAGAAAATAGAAACGAACATTGAAGCAAAGTTGGTTCGGCCGGTAATTTCGAAAAATAAATACAACTTTTCATCTGTGAACACCATTGTCAAATGGTTAATTATGACGATTAGAATAGCCAATTTACTTCGGAAGCAACTCGGAACCGGTATACTTGTCTTCAAAGACAATTTAATGTACTATAAATGTAATTTGGCCAACATGAAACAATATAAGCATGTACGGCTAAGATTCTACTTCAAAACACGACCTTCAAAATTTTTTTACCTAAAATATTAGTGAAAATAATAGGTATGTTTCAATAATTGTGTTGGAACTCCTCATAAGGCGCCGTGTTAAATTCACGAGAACAATAGGCACAAGATGGCGTCCATTGTCAGAGCGTTGCCTCGCTTATATTATATATACGCTTTGGTTTCAACCACATTGTAAACAGCCATTATTGCGTCGTTTGCATCATAATAAGAGAAATTATTATTATGCGCATTCTGCTGGAAGTTTCTATGTCAAAGTATGACTGTAGCGGTTGTTTGATCAAAAAAAAAATGGAAGAAAAACTGCCTCAAGTAAATTTTTATTCTTTCAATTTAAAATTCCCACCCGTGAATGGGAAAGTTTAATGCTTTCATATTTTTAAATTTTAAGCAATTAAATGTGGTGTTGCTTAGAGAGAAATTCTGAGTTCAAAAATATGAAGGGGCCTTCCCTGGTCTAAATACAGCCATGAACATCACCAATTTTGGGATATGTACATGGTGTCAACATATGAACTGAGTCAGGCCATTGGATTTTGAAAGGTGTACCAGAAATGTACATAGTTACATGGAATCAGGGGGATGAAACTAGTCTAGAAAGCCACGCCCACATGAATAAAACAAACAAAGCTATTCGCGTTTCGAGTTTCTGCAGCTTCACGCTCCATTGCGATCACTTGATTTGCGCGGATCTTGCTGAAGACGGTGGTATGTGCACAAAATGTCTCGCTGTATATTTTTAGCTCAGCAGCCTACAGGCCTAGTATTTTATTAAGTTGGTTCAATACTTTAATCAAATGCCGGTTGTCCATCTTAAGCTCGGTCTCTTTAGTTTATTTCAAGATAGATTAGATTTACTTTTCGGCTTCAACTAGTATTTCCCCCTCAGGACAACGCAGGTACGGTACGGTAACTTGGCGTTCCATGAAACACCTCAATACTGCAATATTCTACCCGATTATCGTAACCTAGGGCATAGGCTATATTATTTCTTATGTTCTGTGAGTCCGGTACTGGGTTACGATCTTTTTAGCTACACACCCTCCATTCTAGGAGATATAATTCTACTATTATAACTTACGACTAACTTATGTATGTATGTATGTTTATTCGTCTCGTAAAAGCAATATAAAAGAGTAAGTAATTATAAATACTGAAGACGGGATGTATGCACAAGACCATATTGGCCTAAAACACAGATGTGCGGCATACACCCCTTTTTATATACATAAATTATAATAGGGTAAATCAAATATGTACAATATGGTCCTTTATACAGGCAGTTGTGCAAGTAGGGTGGGTGGATGCGGTAACAGGGATGTGGGTGGAGTGTACAAAACTGTTTGTACAAAGGAGTTTGTTAGACAAAACAACATCTATAAATAGAGACACAACACAACATGAAACACACTGCATATGAATATAGTAATAAAAAAAATTAAAAAAAAAAATTAAGAATTTGGATGAAAGTACAATACCATTGAGTGATGATACCACATACTATAAAACGCGGAAATGGTCAAGTTTAAAGGGTGCGTACATATATGGTATGCACCACTCAAGGGCGACAGTGTTATAAGTGGTCTATGGCTGTTCTGGCCAAAATGTGACCCTACAGGTTTTGGTGAAATATGATAAAGCAGCACTATGGTCTGATAGTATTCACAGATTTACCAAACACCAAAGTACGGTACCAATTTCTTTTTTTAAAGTCAACTCGTTTTATCTCTTCTTTACGTTTTTGTATTACTTTATTTAGAATTGCATAATTTGTATTATACTGTTATAGGCTATATATTCACATCACTCATCAACATGAGTATTCGATGTTGCATTCCAGTATGTTCAAGATTATAATTTTATATAAAAAGAGAGAAATATTCAACAAAGCCTCACAGTCGCGTCTTTGAATTGGTGCAATACTCAAGATGGAAAGTAGCTGAAAAAATATGTCATAAAAATGTGCAAGACTTGAAAAAAAGTGCATCAACTTATTCACCTTCCAACTGGCAATACCAGGATTTAGAAGACAATATTTAATTTTTTCTCAAGCCCTAATCAGCTGCAGAGCAATCAAGTTTAGCTATAAACATTGATTCAGAGTTGGAGATCGGTGCAATTTATCATGGTTGGACTAGTGTAACATCGGAAGTCCTAAATAATATTGATGTAAAAGAAACAACTTTATCAAATATCCTGCATATTATTTGAACATCAGCTGGCAGCAGTAATTCCAGTTAGTACAACAAGTCAACATTTTGAAGTGTCCTAATTCGAACAAGGGCCTCCACAGCTTTGATTGCTTGCTTTACGGTATTACATATTTTCTAATCATCTGTTTCAAGAATTCACAATCTTCACCACTAGTGTTGATATCATCATGTTAATACCTTGAAAATTTTACAATTTTTTCACTAACAAAGTACTTGAATCAGTAACTTCAGCTTGTTTGTCTGAGCGTAGTACCTTCTATTTTTACTTCCATTAAGAGTATCATCTTGCGAATGACATTACAACACTGCTATGTGGGCACTTCCTTTGAGCAATAATGAGAAATTTCTTTTATCATTATTTTAGATCACTGAATTGTGAAATATTTATTTCATCTGGGAAAAGATGGGAACAGTGTTTTGAAGATTTCCCTTGTTTCACTTCTATTACGAGCTCAGGGACTCATAGCCGATTGAATATACATACACCTGTCCATAAGTCTCAGTTCCTTTACACAAATTGATGTAAAGTAGGCGAACAAAATTAGTTGAGGAGTGCCCAAATTTATAATTGTACAATTATTATTAGTAAACAAACTTTAATGTGCGAAATTTGGTTCAAAACCTGACTTAGTCGATATCTTTTTAGTCAAAGAAAATATTGTCTACAATTCAAAAGAAGATATGATGGTTGGATATGATGGCTTTGTTGACTTGGGAGTTGGGAGAGTCGAGAAAAGCAGAGAAAAAGTTCCTGCACACAATGCACTGCAAGTTTATGCACATGGCTTGATTGGGAAGTTTTCAAAGCCCTTGACGTTATCCGCTCAGACCATCTCGCTAGCATTTTCTGGGAAAGTGTTGGAGAAGTGGGTTTGGGGCTCATTACAGATGGACTTAGTGCAAACCGTAAAATGTTCCATGAGTTAAATAATTTGAGGTTAACTTTCCCATATACATGTTTCAATGGTTCTGATCATTTCATTTACTCAAAACAGTACGCAATAATGTGTTTGCGAGTCACGCTGGTGGAATCGCCTATTAAAAAAGATGACCATTTTCGTGCAGTACCCTTCTTTTTCATCCGAAGAGTTCCGCTCCTGCAAATTGACGGAATCCCACTTGTGCTTACAAAGCTACCCAAAAGTGTGTGTCAAATATGCAGCCCAGGTGCTATCTAGGACTGCTGCAAGATTGATGCAGCAGAGAGGTGGGCCAGAGCTCTTGGTCAGCATGGTCTATTGATAAATGGTTTGATATTATGAATACTTGGCCAAATTTTGGATATAAAAAGGGTGCTCCCGTAATATGTGTACCAGGTTGGGGTTATCAGGTTCTGCGCTATCTTGGTACACATACTAAAAAATGCTCCGACATTTCATAGCATTGACGAGCGTCTGATTTGGCTTGAAAATAATTTTCATTCCAGAAATACTCAACTGGAAATCATCTGTCGCTGGGACAACTCAAACAGTTTTAGATATGCTGTATTTTTATTATGCAACTTACATTGCCTATTGTCATGAAAATTTACTGCTTAAGTAATAAAAATAAAACTGCAATCACATCTAAACGCACTACCTTGCAAAATAAAGTGAAATGAGATCATGCTCTTCATCTACATTTATTTTTAATTTTGAGCAGTTTTCGTAGGGATAAATTCTGTTTGATGGCATCTTATTTTTCCAAGATGTCCAGCATGCTAGTATCGTTTTGGGCGATACCAAATGATTCTATATTGAAATTTTCAAAAACTGTGGCTGTAACACTTTCATGAGCATAGTTTTATCTAAATTCAATTTTGAGCAGCTTGGACACTGGGCAATGGTACAGTTAGGCGTCCATATTCTGTTTCCTGCATTACTGCAATCATAGAGTCAGTTATCAAACAGTCCGGTTCGGGATTAAATAATGACTGAATTCTTTTGCAGTCTTCCGGGTCTTAGCATAATTTTTGCATTTTTTGTAAAATAAACCCAGCAATGTATTGGATTATAATATGGACCTCATCGTCATTCATTTTGATAGAACTTGAATCCAGTAAATCTGGAAAACATAGGGAACACGTGTGTAATATTAGGATATCGCATTATTGATTACCATGAATGTCAATCAAACAGGGTCAATACTTGAAAATTAAAATCGATCAAGCGCCTGTTAAGCTGGTGCGCACAATGTATGAATCAGGTAGTGCTTTATTACCTACATTCAAAACCAATATTGCTTAGAAAACAGTTTTATGTATGAATAAAAACCCAATTAAGCCATTTTTGCCAGTTATTCATATGGTTCGTAAAATTATGGTATCTAAACATACTCAAATCCAGACAAATATTAAGCACCACACCTTTCGTTTTATCCATTTCTTAGGCTGTGAATCTATCAAATAATTCCCTGACAGACTGGAGGGTATAGTAAACCTGGAATACTCTGTTCGAGTGTGAGGAATAACGCTAACTGCATCACAGCTGAAGGATAACATTTGATCACTCAGGACTTTTCTTCAGCAACAATTGTATGTATTTGACCACATTTGGTAAAATAGGGACAGTGGCTGCAATGATCTTCTACTACAATTCTCCCCACAATAATATCTCTGCCTAAAAATAAAAAAAATTCAAAATTATTTTGACAGATTTATCCCATGGTGGTTAAAAAAATTTGCGCTTTATGTTTATTTTGAGTTGTATTAGTAATTATGGAATTTATGTAGGAGTCTATAATTATGAAAATCTTACCTTGTTTGTGAATATGTTGAGCCAAAGATGCCACGCTGGAAAATAACTTTTGACACGTTGAGCACCTTGAAATAAAACATAAGTTATTTTTTATAAATCTCAGAAGTTGTTTATTAGCAAAAATATTGTCATGAAAATATCACATTTATGTATGTCTCTATCTATAGAATGAAATCCAGAAAATACCTTGATGGTAAGATAATTAAATGCATGATCTGTTGGGGGTCCTGCATTAAACCTCCCTAACACTTTTTGCCCTCTGTCTGTAGCTCTCTTTTCAATAGCTGTCTTACTTTTGCTCATTCAAGGTGAACTTTTCTTCCATTGCCTCGTCAAGATCTATGAATACTGTCAGTTTATGATCCTCTAACATGAATGAGTCTAGTACGGTACAGACAGACAGGTAATGTCTGAATGTATCATTAAATTCAGGATCTGATTCAGGGATTTAAACTCGGCAGCTCTGTCTGTCATATATCAGCACATGGTATCTCCCTGAATACTCACCCGCTAATGGAAACATACTGATAGTATATATCTAACGTATAGAAATGGTAGACTTACCTTTATTAGCCACTGATTATATAATAACTACAGCCCTTGAGTCCGATCGACCAACAGATATGGTGAAACTGCAGCAAAACGCCGAGAACTCGAGTGGGCGTTAACGAATCAAGTTGCCGCAATGGAGCGTATCGCGTCAGACACTCCCCATTGGTCAAGGCTTTAGTTGCGCATCATGGTATGTTAGTCGTTGCATGGAATCCATGAAATATATAACATCCAACAAAAACCAAAATATGTCTTTCGTTGAACGCCATTTGTGGTCCCGGTACCGGTATTCCAGTATTCTGTTATCACAAGCAGTTCGAGCGCATATCCCACAGAGCACGGCGCGTTGGCAGAATCTCATGGTCTAGTGAGAATGACGTCATCGGAAACACCGCGCTCATCAAAATTTCAATGAACGATTATCAAAAATCTTGACCATGTTTATCATAATAAAAATATCAAAAAAGATGTAAAAAATATTCTATCCTCAAAACTGCTCACGTATACAATGAAAGATATCTAGAAAATTACAAAAAATGCAAATTTCTGCTCTGGTGATCACATTCCCCATAAGAGCTAATGTTAAAAAAAAATTTCACATCACTTTTCCTTTTGCGCGTAGGATGGGTTTTTAATGAATAAGGTCTATTAAGACTAAGATTAAATATAAAACAGCATGCACCATTATATAAAAGCCAACCAAGGTGAATTGGACTCCGACAGTGAATATCACAAGTGCACGCCTTCCTTTACTGTAGTATAAATTCAAATTTATAAGCACTGAGCTAGAATCTGAGATGCAAAAACTCGAAAATACTTCGCCGAGGTTATTTTGCCTTTGTGACGTCACATTAGTCCTGCGATAACAATGCTAATTCATTATGATGAAACATATGCACAAATGTGCATGTCATACAAAATCTTCATTTTTATGAGTTTCGAAATTCTTAAAATAAAATCTGAGTTAACATACAGGTGCGTCGCTTTACATAAATACCTATTTTATAAAAAAAAAACTCAAAACCGCCAAAAATGACTTAGGCAATTCGGTTATTAGCCTGACGATATATTCTTATCGCTTGTCTTTGATGAAAATCTTTCTTGGAAATAACAAATTGTGCATTTTATTAATAAAACAAAAAGAAACTTGCTGCCAAAGTATCCCAGTGTATCAATCAATCTGAACAGTTACGATACTGTTGCTCATTCTGACTCTTTTGACTTTCATAATAACGCGTCACAAAATTGCTTCCACGATTTACTTGTCAAAATATCTCCAAGCGAAGAAGTAATTCTAAGCTGTTCATACGTTTCATGAGTTAATGTGAGTAAGCATTTCCTATCTTTTACTGTAGGCCGCGAGCCGAGGCCATTTATCTTTCAGTTTCGTAGCGCACATAAGGTGACTATCTGAAAATAATTTTAAAATGTTCCTTGGAAATTTAGTAACAAATATTGCCTTGTTCCCACTTCCAAAAGTTGCACGTTTTACAGAAAAGACGCTTTTACTACAATTAATATGTGTTATCATCTGTCCTATTTTCTCTGCTTTTCCGGTATCATGGGCCAATGAACGTAGACTTCTGCATGACGTAACAATCAAATTAGTCAGCTGTAGGTGGATCCCCAGTGGTCGGATGAATATCAGATGTACTACTACTGCTCGCTTTTGCGTTGAGTACGGTAGCCTTTCCATAGTTTTTTTCAGTTATTATTAGTTCAGTTATTCTAAGGAGGTGTATATCTTGTATATCTATATTGTATATATATTGTATATCTTTACCATAAATAGCAATTTTAGTTGAGCACTAGCTCATAAGACGTTGTTAAATAGGTACGGCAGTACGGTGCGGTAACTCCAAGGAAGGCTAGACCTAGAATAATATGTCACAAACAACGATATTTTCTGGCTTGCATGAATTGTTTATGATTAATTTAATGACTCTTCTTGACTATTCAGCAGACTTATACTACTATATAGGCCACAGCATATTTGTAAATGGAAATTAATGACTGTTTCTGTAATGCACGGTTGTGTGAAAGAGAAGAAAATAATCAATTTTACTAATGTCGGTTGGTCTAAATCTAAATTCATAGAGTCGACAAGAACCTGGGAAGCAATGATAAGTTATGCCGGAGTGGAAAGAAAGTAGATTGGAAACGATTGAGAGGCGAGAAATCAAGTTGTAGACAGACAGTTGATGTTTTAAAATATAGTCTATAGTCCATACTCTACTCATACTGTCATAGGGCATTTCAGACAGTGATATATCAAAATTTAGTGTAGATATAGTCTAGTAATGGTATGCAAACACTGTTGGACTGTAGTACATGCAATGAGCATATATACGCTCATTTAGTACATCAGATAAAATTCATTATGTATTCAAGGTATTAGTTAGTATTTAGTGATATTTTTACACTCATGCTGTTCCAAATATGATTTTCTTCCTCATTTTAGATACTGTACCACTAAAGAAAACGGCAATGTTCTACCAATCCGACCTAACGCAGGCTCTAATCCCTGCTGCTATCAGTGCTATAAAATGGATTAACAAGAAGTCTTGAAGCGTAAAGGTATATGAGAATCATAATAGTTTGCAAACAGCTTAGATGGGTTATTCATATTGAAATACTTCAGCACTTTTCGGCAATTGGAACTGCCCACCAAACTCATGTTGGAGACTTTATTGAGGTTTTCAATTCATTTTTTTCTCAACTATGAAGATCTTTTGAGGTTAACGAGGCATTAATAAATAAAGCTGAGAAAATTGTTTGTTCACTGTATGAAGATGATACCAGGGCACGTCTATTTAACACTGGTAAACATAAGGATTATACTCTATCACCCAACAATGATTCACTGAAGAAGCATGTGGCCCTCAAATCAGTTCTTGAGTTGGCAAACTGCAAGTGTAAGAAAAATTGTCAAAATAATTTATGCAAGTGTGCCAAAATCAACTTAAATTGCACAGATTTTTGTTTTTGTATTGACTGCAAAAATCACAGTACACTTATAGAGGAAAAGTCGATTTTCGAGATAGTGGATTTCGAAAACAATTCAGAAGAAAGTGAATTATATATTGTAGTTGATTTAATAAGTATCATTTATTTGTTTTTGTTTTTTGGACATTTGTTAGTGTCGTAGTCCTGTTTCTAGAAATAATATTTATTGCCTTCGTTCAAATACATAACCACATAAACTAAAAAAAAGACTAATTGTAATATTTCTGTTCACTATGTTATGTACATATTGTACATTCATTTAATTTTCTCGACTTTTCCGGTAAATTTCTAAGTGAGAAATAACTGATTTATTTGTGTTTTCGTGCTCACGATGTTAATTTGTGACTTCATTGCTTGAAAAATAAATACGTTTGATAGCTTCTATAAAATGGATGTAGCTTTTTATGCTGTTCTTGTTGTAAACTGCTTGTGGTTTTTACATAAAATTTATTCGCTAATGTGAATCAGCGTTGTTGGTGTCGCTGCTTTCGAGGTCACTCGCGACTCCTGTCACACAATTAAAGTATTTTTTGTTGTTGGTTACATGTATGTCATATTTTTCGTAATCTACCCAATAAATTATGATTGACTGAGAAAGTCCGATTTTGGTAAGGCAAAACATTACGGGAATACATTTGTGTTAGTGTGCTGTAGGGCTCTCGAATTGCATAGTTCTTATGTATCAATCAATCAATCATTTTATTTCGGCTCTCTGACTAAAACGGAACAATACAAAAAAGTAAACAGACAACAAATACAGAACAATACAAAAAAGTAAACAAACAACAAATACAGAGATACCTGGAAGGCGAGCATAACTTAAAATAAAGTTAAAAAACGTACAACTACGTGCCCACCCACCAAAAAATAAAATAGAAATAATACGATTGTACAAAAAATATGAACACGATTCAAAATCGGGCAGTTCTTATAACTCAATTTAAAATGATAAAAACCAAATAATTGCTTGAATCAGTGGATAATAAACATGGAGTAAAATAAGTGCTGCGCTTGAAATAAGACAGCAAAATTCAGGTAGATAAAATTAAATGTAATAGAATCCCAACGACCTCCTCCGTCTCTGATAGATGTTTCAAATGTTCGTATACGATTATGGTAGCTGAGAAATCGCCAGGGTTATTGAATTTCCGGGAACCTCCTATATTCAATTTCGCATCAGGATTGTGGAACAAGCTGGAATGCGTTAAGTATGTTCATTTTCACACAAAACTGAGGAATTTATTTAGTTACCAGATGTGCGCTACGAAACTCATTTTCTGGGCGTTTTCAAGGCTCCGTCTCACGGCCCATATCCGTGGTAAGGATCTACAAGTGTTTAATAACTTACTTATACCCTTTTCAACAACGTCTTAGCATAACTTAATTAATAATAACTAAACAGGGCTATGGAAAGGCTGCCCAACTCAACGCAAGGTCGAGCAATAATAACTAATATTCATCCGCTCGCTAACAGCTGATTCGATTCAATTGTTACGTCATGCAGAAGTCGTTGTTCATTGCCGAAAATGTAAAGAATATAGGACATAACGTAGCACATATTTCTTGTAGTAAAAGCGTCTTTTCCGTAAAACGTGCAACTTATGGAAGTGGGAACAAGGCAATATTTGTTACTAAATTTGTAAGGAACATTTCAAAATCATTTTCAAGTAGTTACCTGATGTGCGCTACGAAACTCACTTTCTAGGCGTTTTTCAGGGCCTCGGCTCGCGGCCTACTGGACTCAAACTTTGGAATTGTCTTTCTTTTAAATTGAACACCAAAAAATCTTTCAGAAAGTCTCAATTAGTTTCGAAATTTTGAAATTACTGTTTCGAAACATATATATATTCTTTTTGTATGAAATAAACCACAATGTATTATGTTAATAGTTTTAAAGCAAATAAATTTTAAGGCAAATAAATTTATTGTCGATGGTCCATGTCAAAGTTGGGACACACCTATACCAAGTATAATTGGCATTTTGATAACTGTTTTTCTTTACTGTTCACTCTTGTTTCGAAAATCGATCTTCAATTTGGCGACCTTCATGAAATTATTAGGTAATTTTATTTTTTTTGATTGATTTATTTT